TATCTGATTGAGAATTTATCTGTACACAAAATCCGAATTTTCAAAATAAGATTTTATTGGTCCTGACTGTTTATACGGCTTTAAAAATTACTGAAACAGCAAGAGAGACTGTAAAAACAGTAAGGGTAATGAACAGGTAATAGAACACACCCGTCTAACAATTTCTATGTTGGTATCATCAACAAACTTACACCCAGGGAGGGGTCGAGAAGTGCCCTATAGTCATCAATGTGGAAACAAAAAAGTACATCGATTGATCAAGTATGCGACTTCTTTCTGAGGAGATTTTACCAATTCTTAAAAACAACAAATCACGGTACTCCAAGAATTATTTTTAGTTTTAGTAGTACATCTTATTATTGATGAACAATAAACCAAAGTTGGTACCAATTGCATTTTCTGTGAAAATGATCTCAACACAAGTTCTTAACATTGATGTAGATACCGAAGCTTACACTAAACCTAAGGATAACAGACAAGAAACACTTAATTCTTGTGTTTCTTCCTTTGTCACAGTGAGTTATAATTTACTGAAATCTATAAACTTACTACACATTATGCAATCATTTAAGAACTTCCTAGTGTGTAAAAAGGACACATTCATGTCAATAGCACTATTAAGTATCAATTTAGTAAATGTCACAATTTCCTTTGAGCTATTTAAAAAAGAAACTATTGACAATTTTATTATATTTGGCTCAAATTCTTGGAACAGTATGCATATTTAACACTGGTTTCAAATTAAAACATAGTAAGATTACACTTTGTACCTTTATATCTGTAACAAAAAAATGCTTCGTTAAATCTCTATAACAAGTGTATCCCCTAAACCTAGAGAAAGCCTGATGCTTCCTACAACAATAACATCAAGGTTAAAGGTATTCTATTAATCATTCAACATTTGAGGTTTTTTTAAAAGTAAAGTAGTCAGATAGCACAGTGGTAATACACTTATCATTAACCTTGGGAACCAAGCATCAATGCCCTTATGTTGTGCAAAAAGGTAAGAGGTCGTCTGTACTACGAAGTGGGTGTTCCCCATATACTCTGCTTTTCTCCAATGTAAGATGTCTCAAGCACTTCCATCCCGCCCAACAACAATGATAAATATAAGCTGATGTTAGTTTTATGTTATTGTTGTAAAATAAACATAGTTTATTTCTTTTGCTTTTTACTTACTTATCAACAACTCACTCAATGCTGTCTGTTATCTTTGGCATCATGGCCTTGAGTTCCTTGCCGCTTGTGTAAAGGCCACGTTCTCTGTACAGTCTCATCAGGATATATCTAAGTCCACTAGTGTTATTTACCCACTCAATCAGACCACATTCCTCATTGAGGGGAACAACAGCCTACAACAATGTACAACAATCAAGTTACACATCTCACTGAGGGGAACAACAGTCTACAACATTGTACAACAATCAAGTTACACATGTCACAGAAGGGAACAACAGCCAACAACATTGTACAACAATCAAGTTACACATGTCACCGAAGGGAACAACAGCCTACAACATTGTACAACAATCAAGTTACACATGTCACCGAAGGGAACAACAGCCTACAACATTGTACAACAATCAAGTTACACATGTCACAGAAGGGAACAACAGCCAACAACATTGTACAACAATCAAGTTACACATCTCACTGAGGTGAACAACAGCCTACAACATTGTACAACAATCAAGTGAAACATCACACTGAGGGGAACAACAGCCTACAACATTGTACAACAATCAAGTGAAACATCTTACTAAGGGGAACAACAGTCTACAACATTGTACAACAATCAAGTTACACATGTCACTTAGGGGAACAACAGTCTACAACATTGTACAACAATCAAGTTACACATCTCACTGAAGGGAACAACATCGTACAACATTGTACAACAATCAAGTTACGCATCACACTGAGGGGAACAACAGCCTACAACATTGTACAACAATCAAGTTAAACATGTCACTGAGGGAAACAACAGCCTACAACATTGTACAACAATCAAGTTAAACATGTCACTGAGGAGAACAACAGCCTACAACATTGTACAACAATCAAGTTACGCATCACACTGAGGGAAACAACAACCTACAACATTGTACAACTATCAAGTTAAACATGTCACTGAGGGAAACAACAGCCTACAACATTGTACAACAATCAAGTTAAACATGTCACTTCCTATTTTTCCCTACTTATATTGATGTTGATTTTATATTATGCTTATGTTTACATATTGTTATTTTCTTGATGTTTGAGAATTATCAGCATAGGATAAGAATTTGATGCGCGGGACCAAAATTTGGTCAAATTTATTTAACATTCCAAAATCGTCTTAACATCCAGATATGATCAAATGCTCTGCATGGGTCGTTCTTAAGGTGCATTCCCAAAATTGTAAATTCCTGACCCCAAGGTCTCAAATTTCACATGGGGAAGTAAATTGCACAAATTACTAATATAGGAATATTACAGTGTGGGTATAATTCCATTCAATTTTCCTCTGTTAATATTTAAAACGCAGTCTGATTTATAAGACGATGGTTTGATGTTTAGCACATACTGACCTTGATTGATCTCCAGGAGTTGCTGTGTGGGGCCCGAAAGGTTAAATTGACTGCAACTTCAAAAGGAGTCTTAAGGTGCTTTACTGAAATTGTAATTTCTAGTACCTTTGGGTCTCACATTACCCCCTGCAGAAGGGTACACTCTTCTATAGATCGTACTAAACACAAGTTTATAGCCCCTTTTCCTGACTTAGAGTAAGAAACAGTGAGGCCAAACAATAGTTTATTCAAGTAAATTACATTTCTGGGGATAATTTCTTTTAATATAGAAGAGGGTAGAATACTTACCCAATGAAATATTCACATTTTTATTGCGAGTTAAGAAGACTATTTCTATAACCTGTTTCAAGAACAACGACAGCATTGTAACTCAGGTGACCGTTAAGATCCATGGGCCTCTTGACACCTTGGACAAATGATGTTTTGTTTCTTTCAGAATTAGCTGCTTTCCAAAATTTATCAGAATTGCTAACCTATAACCATGAAAAAACGTGCTAAAAAAGCACAAGTGAATAACACGTTTTGACTTAATATAGGATAAAGTAGAACCAACTAATGAAGCAAATATTCTCTACCTTATCTGAGAAAAAAAATAATGTTGCCTCTTAAATAGATATCAATCAGTATCTACATATAACCTCAAAGCAGCCAGATTTACATCGAATTTACAAAAGAATATTATTGTAAAATAAAATTCTTGTTTAACATTACTACAAATACGTTTTGGTACACAAATGAATATAGATATAAACTTCATTCATTGAGAAAAAAGTCATTGCGACCTATACTAATATACTAGTCACTCATGTTGACCAAGATGTAAGCTATCGAGAGGTCTTACAGGTAGGAAACAAGGGTACCAGGGGAAAATCCAGCGGTCGGGCGGGTGACCCTTTACCTCTTCTCTGTTTCGGGAATCGAACCCCGGACAGCTAGGTAAAGGTGAGTGCGTTACCACTGCACCACCCGACCATCCGTACGCAAATAGACACATTGATATCAAAAGCGTTTAATTTCATTTACAACAATAACAAACATTTGCAAAAACATCACTGGCTTTAATTTCGACTTTCATTTTTCAGATCGACTCACCTTTGAGACGCTTTATTCTACACTCAACTTCCCAATCGCCCACAGATACCACGACAAAAAAAGCTACCAGTTCGACGAATGTATATTGCAAGCTGTATCACGCATGCCTAGGACTCGACCTCATGATCTTCGTAACAGATTCGTCTACCGAGAAAGAACTTCTCCAACGATCACACCATTCCGTCATTTGCTTTCACAACTGCAGAGGGAAGTTGTCTACAGTAATTTGAACTAATTCACGATAGAAGGGGAAATACTCTCTTGTACATTGAAATCATATCGAAAAAAAAAACAGTATGTTTGTATGTAGTAATCAAAGAAAGATAATATTAACCTACAGACGTTCTTATTCTGCTTATATTCTTGGCATCCTCTGCACATACCTGGTTAACTGTGCCCCTCGCTGATTGATTTCCGGTTTCCTTCATCATCAGGTGGTTGCAAACTCTGCTCGGATGTTTCAACCCAGAACTACGACATCTTCCAGTTGGTGGATCAGTAAAGAATGTAAAAGGACGAGAGTTTCTATCGACCTACAACGGAATACTGCATGACTTGTCAAAATCTCATTTAATAAAGATATTTTATTTCATGTTTAATAATTTTATATTGTTAGATCATCCACCTAGTACTTTGATTTAGAAACTCTTATAGCTAAAAGACCGCTGTTTGACGGATATGTAATTCATGACCTAGGATTCAAAAGTTGCCAATGATTTGTTGATCTTTAAATATTTTAACCTCCGAGATCATATCTTGTAAAGTGGAGTGACATTCTGCGTTATAAATTATACTAGTCTAATACACTAGTAAACTCGGGTGTTGTAGCGAACCGTAGGGTTAGGTCGAGTCAAGGGTCAATCAACCGATTAAATTTAATTTAAACGTGTCTCTTTGTCATCAAGTCATTTCTAAACAATATACACTGTTACAACGACTCGGCACAATATCAAATTTAAAATACCATAATGTATATAACCATATAACGGAAGGTGACACTAGACAGAATAGACGATGTATTTTAAAACACACTGGAAAAGACGTTATTTAATGGAAATTATGTAAAAGTATAAGTAACAACGTCGATCAATACCGTACGCGTTCCGGAACACTAAACACGGATAGAGCTCACGTGGGGATGGGGAATAGAAACAGTAAGTATGAAACATGATATCATTGTGAAATTATTCTATCATTATTGAATAAAGATTTTTAATCAACATGAATCACAAGCGTATTGGTATGAATTCCCACTGCATATCATATTTACTTTTATTTTTAAGGCTATCCAATATCAGACTTTGTGTGAGTTTACTATTTACTGCAGAGTAAAAGATGGGATGTGGAGGGTCAGCTGTAAAACCCCGGGGAGAGGACGGTGGACTACTGACAGAGACAGACACTGACCCCGTGAGTATACATGGCGATAGTTTCTCTTACTGCAGTTGGATAATTCAGCATTTCCCCCCTATGATCAAAAAGGAAAGCCAGCTTTTATTTTGCTCATTATTCTGTTAATGGTGTTATTTTGGTGGATTTTGTTTCAATCATTTTCGCGGATGGATGAAAATCGAAAAAAAAAAATGAAAAAATGAAAAGTAGAATTAAATCAGAAAATCATAATTTGTTGCATGATTTTCGTGAAAATGTGTATCATGAATTCATGGCCATTTAAGTCGTTTTGAACAGCGTAAGCATGGATAAGTGAATTTTCTGTACTTAACTTAAAGTAATTGAAACCAAATATTTTACTGCTTTTTTTCGACCCACAAATAAGTGATGAAATGTAGTCTGTTTAAAGTTTAATAAAAGTAGTAATTTAATAACTATCCAAATTATATTCCTGAATTAATAAATCTGTGATAGATATAATGCATTATATATTTCATTCATAAATGGCATTATATATATTCAAATGAGTGCATTTATATATAAATCGCGGTGCTTTCAAAGACAATAAAGGGAACTTTTTGTAAAGACTTTGTCACGCCTCATGGTGTGATTTCAGCCTTAAACACAAAGTGTACAACACTAGCGGACCGAAAAGATCCCAACGTGTGATACTGACAACGTGTCATTGTTGGTTTGTCTAAAATATGTCTTTCATATTGTAATAATGCTTTATATTGTCATGTTATAATAACACTTAGTGATTTATGATAAAGACTAGACTACCCACTGATAATGCTCATCCTGCAAGTACAGCTACTGCAACCTTATCTTTTTCGTTACTTCACGAGGACAAAGAAAGCAGTTGTTGAATCATGAAAGGTCTCAGGAGAATCTGTCAACGGATAGTGTTCTACTTATAACCTCACACAAAGATGGCATGACACTGAACCCGTAACAAATGTATTAATGTATCGGTTTTAATTTTATTATAATGGTTTTATTTCGACTGTTTTAATTCAAGTCTTCGCATTAATTGAGTATATTTATTTTATTTTTGGTATATTGGTTTATTTCGGGTATATTGGTTTATGTTGGGTATATTGGTTTATTTCGGGTATATTGGTTTATGTTGGGTATATTGGTTTATTTCGGGTATATTGGTTTATTTCGGGTATATTGGTTTATGTTGAGTATATTTCGGGTATATTGGTTTGTTTCGGGTATATTGGTTTATTTCGGGTATATTGGTTTATTTCGGGTATATTGGTTTAGTTTGGGTATATTGGTTTATTTCGGGTATATTGGTTTATTTCGGGTATTTTGGTTTATTTCGGGTATATTGGTTTATTTCGGGTATATTGGTTTATTTCGGGTATATTGGTTTATGTTGGGTATATTGGTTTATTTCGGGTATATTGGTTTATTTCGGGTATATTGGTTTATGTTGGGTATATTGGGTTTATGTTGGATATATTGGTTTATTTCGGGTATATTGGTTTATTTCGGGTATATTGGTTTATGTTGGGTATATTGGTTTATTTCGGGTATATTGGTTTATTTCGGGTATATTGGGTTTATGTTGGGTATATTGGTTTATGTTGAGTATATTTCGGGTATATTGGTTTATTTCGGGTATATTGGTTTATTTGGGTATATTGGTTTAGTTTGGGTATATTGGTTTATGTTGGGTATATTGGGTTTATGTTGGATATATTGGTTTATTTCGGGTATATTGGTTTATTTCGGGTATATTGGTTTATGTTGGGTATATTGGTTTATTTCGGGTATATTGGTTTATTTCGGGTATATTGGGTTTATGTTGGGTATATTGGTTTATGTTGAGTATATTTCGGGTATGTTGGGTATATTGGTTTATGTTGGGTATATTGGTTTATGTTGGGTATATTGGTTTATTTCGGATATATTGGTTTATTTCGGGTATATTGGTTTATTTCGGGTATATTGGGTTTATGTTGGGTATATTGGGTTTATGTTGGGTATATTGGTTTATTTCGGGTATATTGGTTTATTTCGGATATTTTGGTTTATTTCGGGTATATTGGTTTATGTTGGGTATATTGGTTTATGTTGGGTATATTGGTTTATTTCGGGGTTTATTTCGGGTATATTGGTTTATTTCGGGTATATTGGTTTATGTTGGGTATATTGGTTTATTTCGGGTATATTGCTTTATTTCGGGTATATTGGTTTATGTTGGGTATATTGGTTTATTTCGGGTATATTGGTTTATGTTGGGTATATTGGTTTATTTCGGGTATATTGGGTTTATGTTGGGTATTTTGGTTTATGTCGGGTATATTGGTTTATTTCGGGTATATTGGTTTAGTTTGGGTATATTGGTTTATTTCGGGTATATTGGTTTATGTTGGGTATATTGGTTTATGTTGGGTATATTGGTTTATTTCGGGTATATTGGTTTATGTTGGGTATATTGGTTTATTTTTGGTATATTGGTTTATGTTGGGTATATTGGGTTTATGTCGGGTATATTGGTTTATGTTGGGTATATTGGTTTATGTTGGGTATATTGGGTTTATGTTGGGTATATTGGTTTATGTTGGGTATATTGGTTTATGTTGGGTATATTGGTTTATTTCGGATATATTGGTTTATTTCGGGTATATTGGGTTTATGTTGGGTATATTGGGTTTATGTTGGGTATATTGGTTTATGTTGGGTATATTGGTTTATTTCGGGTATATTGGTTTATTTCGGGTATTTTGGTTTATTTCGGGTATTTTGGTTTATTTCGGGGGTTCATTTCGGGTATATTGGTTTTATTTTTAATCTATCGGTTTATCTCTATTTGTATATAATTGTTTTTCTTTCGTTTGAATTTTCGTTGTTGATTTAGTATTTCACTGACGCTAATATTTTTGTCGTTTGGCATCACAATCTTTACTTTCGTTTTTTTTTAGTAATCCTTACTGAAAAAAGACCTACTTTTAACATCAAAGATTATGTAGAATCAAAATAGCTACACTTGTACTACATCTATTTCTGTTAAGCGTGATAGGTAGATTTGATATCTAAGTATATAACTTTACTTAGTTGTTCCACAGTTTAAAATGACTAATACCTTCTTACAGCCGGATTTTCCATACATACCAAACGGTTACCCACCACCCAAACCGTCCTATTCAAAAAAGAAAAATCTTTTTAAGGAAAGAGAATTTAGAAAGATAGACCATAAGGCATACACGGTAAGTTGACATTCTGTTCTAGAAACTTTCATTTAAAGATTTGTATACGTACTACGTGTTTAATAACATACACCTTATGGCACAGACTTTTTCTCTGCCTCTTTTGTGTGAACTAAATTGATATTTCATGAGTATGTTTCTGTGTATAGAATGACACAAAATATGCTCATGATTTAAGGAGATTGAACTCGGTAAAGAAAACCCACTTTAAATCAACGACGTAATTAAATGTTATTAAGAATTCTTGTTGAGTCAATACTAAAACGACGTTGTGGTGCAGTGTTGGTTGTCTTTATGAATTGAATTTTAATCCAAATTAAAACAGTGCTGCCTTCTTCGTGTTTACATACTCGAAGTGAGGCTGTGAAATTTGCATGTATCCATTATTTATTGAAGAGGTAATGTGACCATTTTATTTTGTCACTATTTTGAGATGAAGATTTCTGATTTTGTGTCTGTGGAAAAAAGTATCGTAAATGTAGTCTTAACTAAGAAAGTAATTATTCTGTAGTTTAAATCCTTTGAAATTTGCTTGCCTTCACACAGACTAGGGCAGATATTACGAATTACACCGTGCGATACATGGATCTGGTTTGAGATAATTACAACGACTTAGTTTACTCTATAACAGCTTGTTTGTCCTCTAGCTATCATCGATGCCACCCGAAATCACGATTTAGGTAACATTGTCTAGTGTCAATATTACCATGGCCTGGGTTTTGTTTTACAAGAAAATTGTTTGCTGGTTAATTGTAATTTCGTTTGGTTGTTTTTGTGCCTTTTCCCGTGATTACCTTCAATTCTTTTTCCCCCCATCATGTACTTTCTAGGCCCCGGATGAAGTAGGAAACAGTTTTGATGAGCTGCTGAAGTACTTGCTGGAAGGTTTAACCACCGACCTACAACGTGTCCGAGCAATCTTCTGTTGGATAGGCTGTAAGAATCAGAATCCACCGCCAAATGGGCCCCCGGACTCCCCCAACTTCATCCTCCTACAAGTCAGACGCAACAGCATGTCCTTCTGTTACCTGTTCGCGAGACTGTGCAGGCCAGTATCTGACTCATACGAAATACTGATTTAAATTTTGATATCAATTTCCAATATAATGAAAACCAATTTACGTCCTGTTATTCCGTAATGTGTGCCTTCATTACAAAAAGTTAACGTAACTTCGAAAACAAATTCTTTTCGGGTAAAAAACAGAACAACTCGATGTCAACCTGATTGTGTAGTCTTAGTACATATATTTTTCCGTCATTACTCGTCTCGAAGTTTTAAATTTTGCTCACCAAGTTTCGAACAAAGGAAAAACTTCTAAGACTCGTTCCATAAAATCTTATCTGACACTCATTTAACATTATATATATCATCTTAAAATGAAAGTCTATTGTCTTACTGGGGTTTTTTTTTACAATATTTTGCACATGTGACATTTATTCTTGAGCAGGTTTGTTGACATATCTGTATCTATATGATATCTTCTGAATTGATGTCGTTCTACAATATCTGAGTTTAACACCATATAAGTCTATACATTTCTCGACTTTTCAGGGAGGCCAACATTCCATGTGTTATCATTGTCGGTGTGGCTAAGGCGGCTGGGTATGAAGTCGGCGACAGTCAGGATGTGGTTGCAACACAACACAACAGATGGAATGGTGTGTACGTGGACGGGGAATGGAGATTGGTTTTCCCACTCTGGGCGTTTTCGGCGATCAGTGGACATAGTACCGGCAAATACACACTTGTGGAAAGTAAAGGCAGGTGGTCGTAAACCCAGGAAGTCAATACAGCAAACGATGAGAAATTTTTAAACAAACATCACATATCAAATAATTCCAAAGTAATTTATCTGTAAGTGGTTTAAAATGCTACAGATGCGATGTGGTAGCTTTGTACACTAAAATGATGTAAAATATATTGATGAAATTTCATTCTGCAGTCGGATATGAAGTGACGTTATTACAAGTTTATGTTCCTAAAACAAATTGATAAATAGATTGATAGATCATATCGCTTCCGAGACAGAAAATATGAACACCGGGGTATGATGTGAAGATAAGCACGCGGAAAAATGTGTTTTAATCAATATTTTCTTCAAGAAAAGTAAAAGAAACTTTTACGTTATGTGAAGGAAATACTTCATTAGAATTAATATTTGATAAAGCCCCCATCAAGGCCTCAGACAAAGCTACTGAGTTACGGAATCCAAATAATGTACATACAAGTCGATGGAGGCAGAATCCAATGGATTATAAACTGCAATGCTTAAGTTGTAATTTATAATTACATATTTTGTACCTATCTAATATTGTTTGATGGAATTTTCTTTATAATTGATATATCGCACTAACAGATTCTTCTATAATGTTGAACAATGTTTTGTTATCTTTTTACATAGTTCAGTTTGCTATAACTATAATCTAAAATAAATGTTTGTTTTACCAGGAGCTGCAGCAAGGGAAAAGGAAATCCAGTCATCAGGTGTCAATGTCACACAGTTTAACGAATATTACTTTTTGCCGGACCCTGACGAGTTTGTCACTCTTGCTATGGCCATCGATCCAAAATGGCAGTTTATACATGACACATACGACATTAAAAAATTTTCAGATATAGCACATGTACGGCCAAAATATTTTAATGGAGATGTAAAAATATTGACGGATAATAAAGCGTGTTTACATTCGAAAAAAGGGGAAATAAGCATAGGTTTTAAGGCCATCAATCCAAAGTGGTGTGGAGTTTTGTCATATTTGCTGTTTTTCAATGATCACGAGTCAGTCAACCCTCTGCCTAAAGACCTGCAACTGGAACGCTATATCATGATGGAGCGTCGCAGTTCTATGTGGGTATTCCACGCGCGGTGTCCTTGCGTAGGTGTTTACAAATTGTCAGTCACGTGCGGCACAGATGACGGGTCCTTTTTTAGGATATGCAATTTTAAATTGATTTGCAACGAAGTAAAGGAACGGAATCAGCCCCTTCCATGTCAAGTTGGTACGGCAGGTTGGGGTCCAAGTAAAGATACGTCGAAAGCAGGACTAAGCTCTCCCTCTCAGAATAAAGGAACGATTCATACTTCTGGTGGACGAAACATAACATTTTCTTTCTCAGTCATAAAAGACATTTCAGTGAGAACAGAGTTACTTCAAAATGGAGCCTTAGAGAATCTACGGTCAAGCGTATCGCATGACATAGATGTGAACTCGAAGCTGAATGTTGCTGTAAAGGTGCCTGGAGCAGGGGAGTATGCCCTTCGCATACATACAACGGATGTGAAGACCACAGAGGAGACAAATGCGTGTAATTATTTGATTTCAAGCGACCAAGATTCGCAGAAAAAGAAAAAAGCAGAAGTGAGCACATTTGATTAAAGAAATTTTAATGTAGAATGTAACATTACGTCTTCATTATGTCCGAAATCTAATATGTCCACCGGAAACTGCTAAAACATCAAACCAACTGAAATATTGTTGATCTTTCTTGTTATGATGTTGTAGAGTATGTTTTATTCATTCATTTATTGACGAGTCCGTTTTCATGGGCAATAGTTAAGAAGTTAAAAATCCTGCTTATTCCGCTGTGCAATATATTCTTTACATTATTGTGCGAGTCCTTTCCGCTGGCTTATATTTTTTTCAGAATAAACTGGAAAAACAAGCAAGAGAAGCAATGAAGAAAGCAACAGAGGGAATCGACTACGTCATACTTACCACAGCCATCGACGCCTTTACTCAACTCGACCTTGAGGATAAGGGAGATCTAACGGCAGCCGTCAATAGACACATGCTATTACAGTTGAGGAGAGGTAAGTAAAGGTGACCACTGTTACAAAGTATTTCAGCAGTATAACAACGAGGGCTCATTGATAAGTTGTGAGCCTTGTATTGCAGAAGTTAAGCAGATATGTCCTTTTTCAGCTCTATTTCCTGCCTATTTAGGGATGTATACCCAAAGACTGGTGTCATTTGGTCAGTTTATGTCGAAGAGGTAGCACTCAAAATAAACAAGGCAAGTGACTTTTGCAAAATGGGCAGAATCACTGAAAGAGCAGTGATTCAGTTTTTTCATAAGAAAAATTTAACACCTAAGGATGATATCCATACTGATATGGTAGAACCAATAGGGATTGATGCCACTTCATATGCTACTGTGAAAATATGGGTGGCAACATTTAAGCGTGGCAGGCAGAGCCTTGGAAATGACGCTTGTCCTGAAAGGTCTGTCACATCCCGGGAAAGATATATATCCAATACAGTTGGGGTTTAACAGGAGAGAGTTCATTCCATTTTGATGGAAGATCTTGCTATGAGAAATCTCTCAGTCCCTGGGGATACCTAGACTTCTGGAAGTTGATCAGAAGCACACAAGAGAGACTTTGTCGTGTGCTAATCTGTACTTTTTAGATGTATATCCTGCTACCTTTCTGCAGAAGTGTGAGGCAATGGATGAATCGTGCGTCCATTATTTCACCCCAGAAGCCAAACAACAGTCTAAACAATGGAAGTACCCTGGTTCATCCCCGCCAAAGAAGGCAAAGACTGTTCCATCAGCTGGAAAGGTTATGGTCTCGGCTTTCTGGGATGCTGATGGTAGAAAATCAGCAAAAGGGACAAGCGCTTATGGCACATATCATGCATCACTTCTTAAGCAGCTAAGAGAAAATATCAAACTCAAGCGCCGCGGAAAATTCAGTAAATGTGTGTTGTTCCTCAAGGACAACGCCTCTGTTCACAAATCTGTCATTGTCATGACTGTCATTAACAATTAAGCATCCGCCTTATTCGCATGATCTCGCTACATCAGACTCCTTTCTCTAAAACTGAAAAAGGCCACTTCCGGTATATACTTTCGATCAGATGATGACGTCATACATGCAGTGGAGGACTTTCTGAACGGTCAAATAGAGGATTTCTTTAAAAAAGACACTGAAACATTGCCTGCAAAAGAGTATAGATACTGTTGAAAAAAGATGCAACGTGTCTGCTAAAAGGAAAATTCATAAATATGTGGCTTACAACGTATCGATCAAGCCTCGTGGATTAAGGAAAGTGCGTATTTGGAAGCATCCCAGTTCATTTGATATTGAAACTTGTCTCAGAAAACTAGAAAATTCTTTTATGCAAGATAGAATATGGTCAGGTGTAAATATAAATTAAATAAGCTGAGAATTTCTCAAGAAGTTATGACATCGAGTCTGAACGGAACGAAAGGAGACGGACACTGAAAAGCAAAACATGCTTATCTTCAGTGTGTCATGCTTGGTTACATTGTAAATTAGGTTATAAATCAACTGCATTTTATTCCAGAAAATAATCCTGAAGATGAATGTTTCATTAGAAAAATATTGTTTTTATACCGTACATCTGTTTGTTATCTGCTTATCCTTCGGATAAAGAAATTTTCCAAAACAACGACTCTGGTCTTCATTTCTAAAGCACTATAAATGAAACATTTTCCTTTGTTAACATTAAGGTGTTTTGAGGGTCTTAAAATAGGTCACTCAATATTTAACAGATCTTCGGGATGCAGTCCTTCGCCGTAATGTTGGAGTACTGGAGGCAGCCATTGAAAAAGCCAAAACTTCGGAACATGAAGAACTGCTGCGACCAAAAATAGAAGAGGCAGAAGAGTTACTGGCACATCTGGCCAAGCTCCACAAGTTTGCTCATGGGGTGTTACAATTAAAACAACAAACTGTCTCTGAACTCCATCGTTACAAGATTCCACCTGTGCCAGTCCATGAAGTCATGTTGGCTACTTATATTATGCTGGGAGAACCCAGGGAAAACATCAAGGTAAACTAGCTGCTATCTTAATATTCACAACAAACCAAATTCCAAAATATGTACACATGGATTATTTTGATTGCATATCTTTGAAAAGTTGCATTTTGACAGGTTATGAAGTAGAATTGTCATTTATTGTGTTGCAACGTATTCAATTAAAACAATTAAGTCATTTTCCACATCATGACATCACAATCGAGTTCTGACTGGCACAGCCAAATAAAAAATGTTCTAGGGCATATTACATTAAGGTCATATTTACATAAAAAGTATTACATGGGCGAATTCATGGGTGATAACAAGTGAATTGAATGATAAAATAATTAATATCTGTTGCAGAACATTGTTTAAATTACTCTATTTCGACCACATCAATTTTTGATGGGCAATGTATACTTCCTTCTTAAAAATATGTAACATGCGTTAACTTCTTATTCTAATTTAATAATATTGACATTTTCTTTTGATTATTAATTTAGCATGAAATGTCTTTTTTCCCCTTCTGTAGAACTGGAAGTCAGTACAAGGTGTTCTAGGCTTGTTAGGAAAGAGAGGCTTGATCAATCGGGTTCGAGAGTTTGACACGGTTCACTTAATGGAAGACATAATAGATGAAGTCGAAGGTCTCATTAAGGACTTCAACGAGGAGATGGTCTGTCTACGTAGTCCAGCAGCAGCTACATTCCATACATGGGTAAGTTCTACTCTGTAATCATTATTCCACAGCTAATAACTTTCTTGACTTCCGAATCGCAAGCTCGAGGCAATTCATTTTAACGAAACAGACTAAACATAATGATACACTAAAATTACAGTTGAAATTCCTTTTCTCCATCAGCGACAATTAATTTTAGATCCTTGGTCGCGAATTTACAAAAATAAATCGCAGCGAAAGAAATCAGATTTACGGTAACATATTATCTAAGAGGAACATTTTATAACATTCCTGAGGTAGAATATTCTACTAGTATGCTTTCTGAGTAAACGGTGAACTGGAGCGTTTCTGTAATATCATTTTGCACAGGGATATTTCGTTGTGTGTTCGTGCTAGGCTAATTTAATATTACCGTGTTGGTGATGTTGTGTCTACCTATTTAAGAAGACAAAGTATCCACACATATGTCATGAAACCAGATGTAGACAAAAATATGACTAAACAACAATTAATATCTCTACTGCTTTAAAGTACACATGAAAAATAGTAAACGTATAACAAGCCGTTGTAATTATTCTCTATTCCAGTTAACTAACATTGTCAACGACTATAGAGGTAATGATAAGCCACAATAGACATTTGGAATACCAAGGCTGCTACATCGACAATTTCTCTTTTGTTTTTGTTTTTTATCGCGAGTCAGTGAGTACTCATGATTGCACTCTAAAGGAAAAAACAACCAATTCCACAAAATTGAAGGGATTTATCGGGAGAAAAAAAAATCTTGGAACATTCTTACCAAACCACCAGATGTTATGCAGTCTCTACAGTCATTCACTACAAGAGGTGATGTTATTTTAAACCTTTGATCATTAGAAGTTACACTAAAATGAATTTGGTGGTTACTGCACTGTATATGCGTTTATTACATAAACAGCTATTGTGTATTCAAGACAATGCAAATCATGTACGATTGCCGTCAATTTTTTTTTTTCTTCTTGTTCACATAAAGCTCATCCCTTAAACTATACAACACAAACATTATTTTCAACCCTGCATACTGAGTTTGTTTTTCAACAAGAAAGTACTAATACATCTGGATATCACCATGACCAATACTATTGCCATTGGTATAAATATTTCGGGGTATCACTGTGACCACTTGTTGGTCAGGAATTTGTGCCACTTCTAAAAGCTATTGGTTTTTTCCTGATGCGTCCACAAAACTAGACAATATACAGTAATATGTACATGATGAAGCCCTATCAAAACGGGAAAAGAGAATGCACTGATATGGCATCCACCTTATATTTCTTTATTTAAAATGATGCTTCTAATTGATTGATTTTGAGTTTGAATGAAAATATGATAATCATGTGGGTTTTCTTTTTGTACCTTGCCACTGTGTTAGGCATCTATCATCTTAGAATAAGATAACATGTTTTAACAAGACGTTATAACTAGAGAATGTTTACAAATAAATAACTTGGTGGATTTTATTGGAATAGATGGAATCCAACAGATGCGTTTCTAAATCCAATGATAATAAATATGTGTTCATCGTTTGTTTTCTTGATTGGTTTATTTGTGTACTTCTACCTTTGATCCAACAAATTCAATATAGTTTCCATTACCAAGAAGTCAATATCTTATATCTGTGTCCAGTGACATGAGACTAAGTGACCTCTAGCTCTTGCAGTGGTCTGATGTATCCATGCCTCTACCAATAAGAGATTTTCTCACCATACCTCAGAATTGAGAGGCAGGGAATTCCCCCATCATATCCTCTACAAGGTAATATCCAGATTCCCCTTTCAAATTTCTCTATGATGTAATGCCCACATTCCCCTTTCAAATCTCTCTGTGATGTAATGCCCACATTCCCCTTTCAAATCTCCCTATGACATAATGCCCAGATTCCCCTTTCAAATCTCTCTATAACGTAATGCCCACATTCCCGTTTCATATATCTCTATAATGTAATGCCCACATTCCCGTTGCATATATCTCTATAAGGTAATGCCCACATTCCCGTTGCATATATCTCTATAACATAAAGCCCACATTCCCATTTCATATATCTCTATAACATAATGCCCACATTCCCGTTGCATATATCTCTATAACGTAATGCCCACATTCCGTTTCATATATCTCTATGACGTAATGCCCACATTCCCGTTTCATATAGCTCTATGACGTAATGCCCACATTCCCGTTTCATATATCTCTATAACGTAATGCCCACATTCCGTTTCATATATCTCTATAACGTAATGCCCACATTCCCGTTTCATATAGCTCTATGATGTAATGCCCACATTCCCGTTTCATATCTCTCTATAACGTAATGCCCACATTCCCGTTTTATATATCTCTATAACGTAATGCCCACATTCCCGTTTCATATCTCTCTATGACTTAATGCCCACATTCCCGTTTCATATCTCTCTATGACATGATATCCAGGTTTCCCTTTCATAACTCTCTACAATGTAATGCCCATGAAGTGAAGGATGAGGACAAAGCAGGGTAAGAGAAAAATTATCATTCATCCATTTTGGTGGTAAGATAGGTCTCAACCCTGGGGGAAAGATTATCAAGTTACAAACACTCTGTAAGCTTTCCTGACACTACAAAAACATACACTTTAATGTATGGTGTATAAAAACTATCAATACACACAGACTGCACTCAATACTTTATTTATTTTAATTCTCTTTTACTAAGTATTTTTGCAGTTAAATTACTAATATTTGGCAAACAAATGTTCTGTGAAGATTTTAGACAATTTTACAGATTCAAAAGTCTTATCCTCAAGTTTCCCCCCAAGGAATTCTGAACAGCTTGGAGTGTTGATTCATACATTCATCTAGGTTTTTTTTTATAACAGTAAAGGACACAGTAGGAGACTGATATGACCTGCAGTTGCCAACCTGTAGTGATGAAACACTACTAAGTATATATAATTGGGGTTGCATGAAGACTCCTTGAAATCTGAAGTGAAAAGGATTTTCAATGGTCATCAAGTTTATTAGACTGGTGTGAAATACTGAAAGCACATATCTACATGATGTGCCATGCATTACTAAACTTCAAATACAGTACAAATCAGAAAAAGTGATTCCAGCATAATATATATAGATCCATGATCTTCTCTGTGATGAAGTTGGTCTGAAAAATGTTGATAAGCTAACAAAACTAGACTTACCCAAAACATACCAACCTCTTTATGGAGAAAACACATGATATTTTGAACAAAATAATTACATTTATTATTATTGTCTTTCTGGCAACTGTAAAGTTTTTTATTAAACAGTACTTTTGTTTAAATCTTCCCATATTTCATCTTGTTAGATGAATTCATACTGGAATATCTAATGTCCAATTACATTTTATTGAAAGAATAAATTCTTCAACAGTAATTAAAGCTATTTTCCATGTAAATCCAGTTTGTAATCACTCTTTTCTGAACTAATCATTCAGTTTTCAAACAAGAAATGCAGAGTACACCATTATATAGCTTTATTTTAGCAGTATATGGAAATCTTTCAATAGAATGAGCGTTGAACTGGCTCTGCCTATACTTAAACCAATATCACATAAAGTTCTTTTAAACATACACAAATTAGCTCTGACTTTGCCGACATTATTATTAACGACGCTTTCTATATAAAATACTTTTTCTGTTCTTTTTGTTTCTTTCTTTTTCTTCCAATTCATCCAAAGTGAGCTCCGTTGCTTCCTCTTTTTCCCATGGAGCTTTCAAGAATGCCCTCTTAATTTGTTGTTTGTTTTCGAAGAATCTCAGGGTTTCTTCTTTTTCTTGTAATTCTGCAAGTTTTTGTGCAATCTCCTCCATCTTCTCATTTCGTAGATATTCCTCTACCTGTTGGTTAAACATAAGCTGTCGTTCACCTTCCCACAGGTCTAATCGTTTTACATAATCCTCAATCTCTGTCTGTTCAGAGTTTTTCAACTCCTTTGTCACAAAAGTCTCTACTGCATTAGCCAGAGATTGGGATGACAACAGGTCTTTATTTTCAAGTTCTGCAGACAATACCTAAATTGAAAAATGAAAAAAAAAGGTATGAATTATGCTGATATAATATTGTACAAAAGACACACAAGTGAATAGCATTTTTCACAACAAAGTAATAATGAAATACAGTACAGCTAAATAATAAACTCGAGTGTATAAAACAGCTGTTTTGTCCTTCTAGACTTGCCAGTGAGGAAAATCAAAATAGACTGAAAGAATTGTCAAAATTCTGAAGGTGCAATAGCCTCTTAAGCAACAGATTTGTAATTTTCATATACAATTGTATCTGATAACGTCAAAAGAATGTCAAGTGCATGTGTATATTCTGAAGTGTGAAACCTCAAAAGATTGAAAGGTATGCAATTTATAGAAACATTCTATCAATCAATATTTTTATTATTTGTGTTTACTAGGTTCTTCTGAAGGCATCCATACTGGAAAGGAAAATGAAACATGACTGTGTATTGTTTAGGGACATATCAGTGTCAGCAGGAGTGTCAGTCCAGTAGACCATGACTGTGTATTGTAGGGACATATCAGTGTCTATAGGAGTGTCAGTCAAGCAGGCCATGACTGTGTATTGTAGGGACATATCAGTGTCTATAGGAGTGTCAGTCAAGCAGGCCATGACTGTGTATTGTAGGGACATACCAGTGTCTGTAGGAGTGTCAGTCCAGTAGACCATGACTGTGTATTGTAGGGACATATCAGTGTCTGTAGGAGTGTCAGTCCAGTAGACCATGACTGTGTATTGTAGGGACATATCAGTGGGACATATACTGTGTATTGTAGGGACATATCAGTGTCTGTAGGAGTGTCAGTCCAGTAGACCATGACTGTGTGTTGTAGGGACATATCAGTGTCTATAGGAGTGTCAGTCAAGCAGGCCATGACTGTGTATTGTAGGGACATATCAGTGTCTGTAGGAGTGTCAGTCCAGTAGACCATGACTGTGTATTGTAGGGACATATCAGTGTCTGTAGGAGTGTCAGTCCAGTAGACCATGACTGTGTATTGTAGGGACATATCAGTGTCTGTAGGGACATCAGTGCAGGAGTGTCAGTCCATGACTGTGTATTGTAGGGTAGACCATGACTGTGTATTGTAGGGACGTATCAGTGTCTGTAGGAGTGTCAGTCCAGCAGGCCATGACTGTGTATTGTAGGGACGTATCAATAACAATACAAAACAAAAGGTATTTTACCTCTAGCTCCTTGGTATATTTGTCTTTTTCTTCAGGTGTGAGGTTATGTTTAAGTATATCATCCTGTAACGTCAGTGCAGAATAATCTTTCTCTGGAACATCTGGATCTCTAGTAGCAGCTTCGTCCAGCAGCTCTCTTAACTTCTCAATCTAGTAATACATATATAGAGGCCTCAATGGTCATCAGACTATCAATACATAATATACTCAATTCAAACACGTCTGAGAGATGAAAACCTTATAGCTGTATTGGATGTTGTTGTCACAGTATTGTTGTATCACTAACATGACCAAGAGATCAAAGATACTGTCACCAAATAAAGATATATTTCAATACTGACAGTAACATATGAGGTTTGCTCGATGTTAAATGTTCAAAAATGTACATTCTTTAAACCGTCAAACTTTATCTTAATCAAGATATGGAAAATATCTTATAAATTATACATGATCTTTAATGAAAGAGTTGAAATGAAAACAAAATTTTAGAGGTGGTCATTGCCCACCTAATAAAACATAAATAAACATTGCTATCTGATGTCTATACCTCTTTTCATAACCGAACTGAACAATCTAGTTTCCTCCTTCACCAGGAAAACACATGTGTACTTATCTAAAAGCAGCATGATCTCAAGCATTATTAGAACAGTGACAATGTGTATGGACAACGAGGCAACACCAACAAAACAAAAAGAGCACCAAACTAAGGAATAGTAATGATATGTGTTTAATTCAATCCCATGTGCTCAAAGCATCATGGGATTCAAAGGCTAAATATAGTTGCCTAATTTGCATACCATCTAGTCTGTCTGACAAGTTTGATCATATCAAGATTTCCTTCAGTAGTTTTGTAATTAATAACTTTTCAGAACTCAGCAGAACATTGTATTCAATTGGGGTATAGACAAACTTTAAATTTGCACTTTATTCAATTCTTTCAAAATCATGGATGTTTTTCTTCAGCGGCGACCACTTTAAATACACCTATGATCTACATACCGTTTCTTTCATAACCACTTGCTTTTCCCCGGACTTTTGCCATTGTCTCAGCAGTTTTAAAGCCCTTGGAAATTTATTATAGAGGGCGAGACCCATGATCTTCACTGTTCGTCCCAAGAGGTCATTCCCTTGTACACAACCAAGCAGGTACAGAGTCTTGCCGAGCTTGTACTGGTCACACTGGATATCAAAGTGGTCATCATACAATGGAGCTTGGATTACTTTCTTGGCAACCCACTCTGTGTTCTGTCAAACAAAGTAAACCTCTGTTATTTTCACAAGAAATTACTGTACAGTTCTTTAATTTTGAGGGTTTGATATTCCAGTTTAGCCTTTTTCGTAAGTAACATATTTCATTCGAGTTGGGATCCATGTATGCAGGCACAGCTCATATATTCTATGATTTAGATTCACTATAAAACTGTTGGCTGGGTATTCTATCTCATGCTATCTTTGTTCGGTGCAAATATCGCAAAATTAAATCTACTATTAGTATCACCAACTACTCAGTATGTCAAGTGCCCTTCAACATAAACCTTCCCTTTAATTACTCAGTAAAGAAGCTGCAATGAACAGCTTGGTTTTCAGAATCACTGTCTTACTATTATTGTTATCATGTGAAAATTATCCTTTTTGAACAAGAATGAACAGAATCAGCAAAACTCAAGAGACGTTAGAACATGAAACCAATCAGACATTGTGTGGGAATAATAGATATTGGTATGTTTATATTCACCATGTAACTAAAGTTTATTGATAATGTCAAAAAGAAAAAAAACCCATACATTATATCATCATACCTCCTGCAAAATGTTTTAATGGACAAATAGATAACAAGGCAACAATATTTCTGTAGAGAACAGTAAGACACCAATAGAATTACAGAGCACAATAAGACAACAACATAACTGTAAAGTACACAAGACATCACTAGTACAGTAAAATAAGCCACTAATTTTACTGTGTGGTATCATATGACATTAATATGACTGTGGAGTACAATAAGACAACTATATTTGTGAAAACACAACTTTTCTTCTTTAGGGTACAACAAGATATCAATAATTCTTTGGGAGTATAACACAACAAAAATATTACTACAGAGTCCAATAAGACACCTGTGTTACTTTGGGAGTACAAGACACCAATATACTGTGGAGTACAATGAGACACTGATATTGTCATAGAGTATCAGACATCAAGAAAACTTGTATAATGAGACACCTATTACATGTGGAGTACATTAAGACACAAATTTCACTATGGAATACAATAGATACTTGCTATGCAATACAAGATATCAATAAAATGCCAGTGTAAATTTGGAGTACAATAAGACGCTAATATTGCTGTGGAATATAACACATTAATATAACTGTGGAAACGAGACATCAATATGAATGTGGAATATCATACGACACCAATATTACTGTAGAATAAAATATGACACTTAACATTACAACGGAATACAACAAAACACTAAAAGATATTGTAGAGGACAACAAAACACCAATAGATACTGTAGAGGACAACAAAACACCAATAGATATTGTAGAGGACAACAAAACACTAATAGATACTGTAGAGGACAACAACAAAACACCAATAGATACTGTAGAGGACAACAAAACACCAATAGATATTGTAGAGGACAACAACAAAACACCAATAGATATTGTTGAGGACAACATCAAAACACCAATAAATACTGTAGAGGACAACAACAAAACTCCGATAGATACTGTAGAGGACAACTACACAACACCAATAGATACTGTGGAGGACAACAAAACACCAATAGATATTGTAGAGGACAACAACAAAACACCAATAGATATTGTAGAGGACAACAAAACACTAATAGATACTGTAGAGGACAACAACAAAACACCAATAGATATTGTAGAGGACAACAAAACACCAATAGATATTGTAGAGGACAACAACAAAACACCAATTGTTGAGGACAACATCAAAACACCAATAAATACTGTAGAGGACAACAACAAAACTCCGATAGATACTGTAGAGGACAACAACAAAACACCAATAGATATTGTAGAAGACAACAAAACACTAACAGATACTGTAGAGGACAACAACAAAACACCAATAGATACTGTAGAGGACAACAACAAAACACCAATAGATACTGTAGAGGACAACAACAAAACACCAATAGATATTGTAGAGGACAACAACAAAACACCAATAGATACTGTAGAGGACAACAACAAAACACCAATAGATATTGTAGAAGACAACAAAACACTAACAGATACTGTAGAGGACAACAACAAAACACCAATAGATACTGTAGAGGACAACAACAAAACACCAATAAATACTGTAGAGGACAACAACAAAACACCAATAGATATTGTAGAAGACAACAAAACACCAACAGATACTGTAGAGGACAACAACAAAACACCAATAAATACTGTAGAGGACAACATCAAAACACCAATAGATATTGTAGAGGACAACAAAACACCAATAGATACTGTAGAGGACAACAACAAAACACCAATAGATATTGTAGATGACAACAACAAAACACCAATAGATATTGTAGAAGACAACAAAGCACCAACAGATACTGTAGAGGACAACAACAAAACACCAATAAATACTGTAGAGGACAACAACAAAACACCAATAGATATTGTAGAGGACAACAAAACACCAATAGATACTGTAGAGGACAACAACAAAACACCAATAGATACTGTAGAGGACAACAACAAAACACTAATAGATATTGTAGAAGACAACAAAACACCAACAGATACTGTAGAGGACAACAACAAAACACCAATAGATATTGTAGAAGACAACAAAACACCAACAGATACTGTAGAGGACAACAAAACACCAATAGATACTGTAGAGGACAACAACAAAACACCAATAGATATTGTAGAGGACAACAACAAAACACCAATAGATACTGTAGAGGACAACAACAAAACTCAGATAGATACTGTAGAGGACAACAACAAAACACTAATAGATATTGTAGAGGACAACAACAAAACACCAATAGATATTGTAGAGGACAACAACAAAACACCAATAGATACTGTAGAGGACAACAACAAAACTCCAATAGATACTGTAGAGGACAACAACAAAACACCAATAGATATTGTAGAGGACAACAAAACACCAATAGATACTGTAGAGGACAACAACAAAACTCCAATAGATATTGTAGAGAACAACAACAAAACACCAATAGATACTGTAGAGGACAACAACAAAACACCAATAGATATTGTAGAGGACAACAAAACACCAATAGATACTGTAGAGGACAACAACAAAACACCAATAGATATTGTAGAGGACAACAAAACACCAATAGATACTGTAGAGGACAACAACAAAACTCCAACAGATATTGTAGAGAACAACAACAAAACACCAATAGATATTGTAGAGGACAACAACAAAACTCCAATAATATTAAGGAGTACAACAAAGCACCTATACAATGTTAAGTACACCAAATTACCAATATAATTGTGGAGTAGAAAAAAACACCACTATTGCTGTTGAATACAGTAAGACAAATGATTACAACTAGTAAGATGATTAGGACTTGTAGCACTTCAGATTAGAGTCTCAGTTGAATGGCATATAGGAGTAAAATCTGCATCAGTTTTGGAGCAGCAAATATTTTGAAATGAATATCTTACAAGAGTGAAACTGCAGATTAATGAATGGTATGTTGGACAAGATAAATATGTAGTCTTATCATAACACTTCTATTAAATTAATAAAAAAAAATACCTCATCGTCATCATCTGCTTCTTCCTCATCATCAGCTTCATTCTTGATGTGAGCATCCATGGTTGCTGTGTGAGTCAGGTGCTTTGTACATGTGTACAGGGACAACAGAAAGTTCACATAATTGCTGAAGTCTTCCTGGAACATTAACTCATAGGACACCTTTGCCGCTTCTAGGGAAAAAAACAGTAAAATTATTTATGGGTTTATCAGTTTTGGTTTTGGTGTAGGCCACCTTTCAGAAATTAAAAAGACACATATTTTTAATCTCTTTCAGTGTAAGACACTTTCTAGCAGAAAAAGAAAAACAAACATCTTAAATTCGTTTTGGTGTGCCACCCTGAAAATCGCTGAAATAAATAAACATCAATCTCCTTCCATTCCAACCCCTGGCTTGCCTCTCAAACCATCCTCTGGAAACAGAAAATCACATCTGACCATCTGCTTAGTCTGGTTATAATGTGCTTTCTGATAAAAAAATAACTTAAAAATTGAACAAATTATGAAACAACTTCAATTTCCTTTCCGGTCCGTCACACCCAAGATAAAATATCTGCATACTGCTTAAAGCTGGCAATGCAAGTTAAAAAGAAATCATTTTGATTTTTTTAAAAAATGTTTCCCTAATATCCAAATGCTTCTGAGATGCCCTCTCTATAATAACAATATCTTCTGGTCAGCATATCTAAGGAACTGACTGGATGTTTTAGTCAAAGCCTTACTTGGAAACGAGTACAGACATCACAGGGTCTAAAAGGCTTACACCCTGTTAAACCCATTGTCATTGCAACATTGACTCCCCAAAGTGTGTATGTTATGATAACATGTACACATGACCCTAAAAAATAATACTCACATGAGGACTTTGAAATTAGCAAAGATGATCCGTACTTCTCAGCTATCAAAACTTTTCATTGAAAAAAAAAACTAGAAAACAGAAAACACAGCAAATTCTCTACAGTCCATCACATTTATTCTGAAACACATGCACTAAACCTTAGATACGACAAATTTCACTATGTCTCTGAAACACTTGAAAAATGTTGTATAACATGCAAGTATTTGTTTTCTCATTCTCAGTCATATAATGCTTGACGAGTAAAACATGTGAAAATGATAACCAGTTGTAAATTGTATCAAAATCTGACCATTGAACTTTTTCCTGAAAGAAATGACTAGCAAAACAGGAATTTATTTCTGTACTCTTGAAGAACAAGGTAGGGTTAGTCATTGCTATTCATTTGTTGATATGTTGTGTTTTCCCTCAACAGGTACAGCTAAAGGAAAGGCAAGCAAATATGTGAAAATGTTCTTATGCAGATTGTATCTATGTACGGAGTATATGTACACAGATTAGTTGCCTTGCACTGTCATTGAAACAAGGATAAACAGTTTCACAGGTTGCAAGTCTTTTATACCTTGAGATGTCCATGCAGGTTTCAAAGCAAAGTTTGGACTAAAATGTCTGCCACTTCCTTAGATACAATGACCAGAGGATATCGTTAGCTAAGAGGGGAGGTCTCGGAAGCATTCAAAATGTTTCTTTTATCTCAACACGGAAGCTTCTATTTTTAACTTGTGTTTTCTGTTTTAATAATACATATATTTCCAATTCATATGCAGTTTTCAGTTTTGCTGAAAATAGTAAAGGATGACTTACCTGAATACTGTTCCTGCTTTAGGAAGTGATCCATTAGCAAATTAGCTGTGTAAGAATCAGGAAATAAGCCGTATGTTTTCTGTAACACAAAACCAAAAATTCATTACATCCATGTATTTCAAAACAGCTGAACCTTCCATATTTCATGGATTGGCAATGCAAAAAATCAGAGGGAAAGACAAAAGTTACTTGCATTGTGTAACACAAGAAAAATATCAATTTGATCCCAGAGCTTCAAAAGGTATTAGCAGTGCAGGAATTGGTGAATATGACAGTATCATTTGTAGGATTTTTTCAGTAATGTTCAAAACACCAATTACTAAGAGATATAGTTGGTTCTCAAAATTTAAGTGAATCCCACAACAAAAGCATGAGTTGAGAACTTATCTGAGTTTTAAAAACCGCCAAGTATTCAGAGGATATTAAATACGTTTCACTAAATTCTGCAGTCCAAATTTTAGTGATAAAAGAGAAGTATTAATTTATACTAAAACTATACACACATATACTCAACTCTCTGAATTTGTACAGCTTTAATGGCAGACAAGCATATACCTACCCGATCTTGTACCATTTCTAGAATCTCTTTGTCCATTCCTCTTTCAAGGTAGTTTCGTATAATACCATGAACAATAGAATCACGTACAGGAAATGCATCCTTGCTTTTCCTAAACCTGAATAAAACAAAGGAACATATTGTATGTGATAAAGTTATGTGATTAAGTAAATGTCTTACAACCATCTAAGCAGACATTAGAGGATGATAGAGTGATTCATGTCACATTTCAATTGTCAAAACCAAAATATTACAGAGAACTATTGTTTTTTCTTTAAATATTGAATATCAAAGTAAATCGAATTCAACTATTTATCTAATTTTCAACCTTAAAATTGAACGACATTTTTTTTTGGTAAATAGGTAAATGTCAAAGGTTGTATATTTGTATTTAAACTGTATGATAGGTATTATCAATAAATATGAAAGTAATTAATACTCAAACATACATTTTAATTATTCTCTGCATGTATTCATGATCCTGGTTGTGCATTGTGTTGACTTTGTTGGCAAGCTGAAAGAAAAATGAGATTGAAACTGATAAATGCTCCCAAAAATGATTTTACAGGAGACAATATTTTAAAAATTGGCAATAATTATGTAATTAAGGGGTTACAGGCCTATGAACTTATTCTCTTAGTATGCCCAAGGTGTACCCTAAGTTTCACTATCCTAGTTTAAATGCAAGTAAAAGCTATGTTCATGGCACAAAATTTTTACAAAGGGCAATAACTCTGTCCTGAGGGGTCATGGGCCCTGACTTTGCTACACTGTATATTGCTTTTGTATGGCTGATGTATACATCATTTTTCATTATCCTTCTTTAAATGCAAGCAAAGTAATGCTCTGGACACAAAATTTTAACAAAGAGCAATAACTCTGTAATTAAGGGATTTCTAGCCCTAACATTGGTACATTACATATCGTTTTTGTATGATTGATGTATACACCAAGTCTCATTATCTTAAAAGCAAGCAAAGTTATGCTCTGAACAAGATATTTCTAACACAGGACAATGACTCTAAATTAGGATCAACGGCCCTGGATTATATACACTGCACAATGTCTTAGTATGATCTATGTATGCATAAAATTTTATGATCTTTGCTTAACTAGTGGCAAAGTTATGCTCTGGGCAAGAATTCATTAACTAAAGACCATAACTCTGTAAATGAGGGTCGAAGGCCCTGAATTTGATATACTGCACATTTTCTTTGTATGGTCATTGTATCCACCAAGTTTCATCATCCTATTTCAACTGCAAGCAATTCAAATTTGTGCTCTAGACACAGAATTTTAACATGAGGCAATAACTGCACATCCCTTTGGTATGACCGATGAATACACTAAATTTCATGATCCTTACTTAACTGTGGGTAATGTAATGTGAAATGGATGTTTGTGTCATTCCATAGCAATGTATACAAACATTTTCAATTACCTCGTAAATGTTTTATAAAGGAGTACATATATCAACAGAATTACAACAGCAGGTTTTTGACTGTGTTGTTCCAATCTAAAATTAGCCTGTTATCAGGTAAGTAGCCTATCACCAAAAACATCACCAGAAACATTTCTTGCAACTCCAGTTAATAATGAAATGTTATTCTTATTTTTTGGGCCAGGAAAGAAAGTTTTTTTCAGTTTTTTTTTAATTTGTCCTGTTTCAATTATTTTGATTTTTTCTTTTCTTTCAACATTTATTCAATCTGGTGGTGAAGAACATCTTAATTATATAAATATATTTGAAGAGAAATGGAGATATCTTTAATTATTAATTCATTGTAATTTTTTTTAGATATAATGAAAAGTCATACTTACTATATCCATATCTATCAAACTACTGAAGCCTTGATTATCCAATTTTGTGTACATTTGATAAGACAAATAACCTATAAATAGATCAAAATCATTGATTATAACGATAAACACACAAAATATAACATCAGTAAATAGGCATATTCATGTAATATATCAAGAAATAAAGTAATTATCCATGCTGAAACTGAATTTACTGAAGTACTACAAAAGACACTAATCCCAATTCAAAGAGAATTACATTATCTTATCACAGTCACAGGTTGAAAGTTAAGGGGATGAAACTAAGAGCTAAAAGAACAAAGAGCAATAACTCATCCAAACTTGTTCAATCAAAATGCTGAGAGAAAGAAATAGTTCCATATGATTTGATGATAAAGCATAACGAGTTTGGAAAAGATTGATCAGCAACTAAGAAATTAGATGTTAGTACAAGATAAAAATAAAAAACAAAGACCAATGACTCAGGAAAGACATAATGTCATGTCATAGTATAAAAGCCTTTTAGGTTTGAAAGAGACCATTTGAAAACTGAGAAAGGAAATCTCAAGAAAAGATTCGAATTATGAAACAAACAAAGGGTATACTCTTCAAACTAGTCAAGTCAAGCTGACATCATTCTGGAACTTGACTTCATGGTGATTAAGTCCTCAAAATTTGAAAGAGAATATTTGAAATCTGGCACAATCTTATGCAAATGAATTTAGATAACTTGTATAGAGAATGTTTACAATTGAAAAGTTTTGATAATAGTAAGTCAACATTCTAAGTATTCTTCTTCAGCACTTTTGAGTACTATTAATTTATCATCAATTTTAAAATTGCTTTGCTGACATCAAAACCAATTCAATCTGTTTACAATGGCTAAAAGTCAAAAGTTGTACATTATTCATAAGTTTTCTCACCAAATTCAACTTGTGTCAGAGTTGGTGAACTCAGATATTTTTGCCATTCTTCTTGACAACGATAACTGTCTGACAATAAACAGCGTCTGAATTCTGCAAAAACAAAATACATATTAGATGTGTCAGCATAACATGAATGAACCATCTGGAGGTCAATGTATTGCAAAGTATTGATTTTCAAAGTTTTATTTAATTTTGATGTAACAGGGGTCGTTATATCAATATCTCCTTTAGGAATCAAACCCGGGACCCCTGGCTTACTAGTCTGATGCTCAACCAATCCAGCTGAAGAGAAGTTTTCTCTAGTATTTTACCAGGGTAACATTCGTTTACATAACCAACATAAATGTGTCATTCTGATTATTACTTTCACTGTTTGAATTTGTCCTCGAATTGAAGCCAAAGTGTTGTGAAATGAGTAAACATTAAAACCAAAACGAAACAAAATATAATGACACATAAAACCATTTTGATATTAAAACTATTTGAACTAAAGTCCGTTGAAATAGCAAAACGATGTGCGAATATAACAAAAATAAAAATACACGGAATTCCAAGTGTTTGCTGTTTAGGACACATTCAGCCGTAAAACACAAAGTCTTGAAAAAATCGAGGCAGTCTCAACTCCCTAAGTGTGTTCTAAAATTACAGTATTAATTGATATTGGATCAGTTATTGGAAGCATGTAAGTCATAAGATTGTCATATTTTGACGCGCCCTGATCTACTGCTTGACTGATGGCGACAGTCAAAACTGGAGACGTGCGCGATCGAGTACTTGGATGCAAATTAATGTAGCTACATTTCCCTGTAATTTGTGTTACAACGTGGTAAAATCACAGTCCTACCAAACTCTCATATTGATTTGCTCTTTATGAAAGACGTATATACCCAGATATTTGCAAAATGTGCCCCGATATCTCCGAGTTTGCCGGATTGACCTCCACAAGGCAGCCATGCTTCGATCGTGATCGATGTCCACCAGGCGCTTATATTGGGATTGGGTTATACTAACTACAGTCTCTGACACTTGGTGTAGGCCGGTGCTACGCGATACAGCCCGGCACAGTCAGCCGCGCCAAGCGCTTCACTTGCATTTCTGTAGTGTTAAGACTGTCTTATGTGCAAAGATGTTAACATTAATTAATATAATCATAAAGAGAATGATGCAAAAATATCTAAAATTATCCGAGTTATGAACATTAAAGATAGAAAAACCGTCCAGCCTTTTTCCATTTGTAAATTGTTAAATACATACATAATGACAAGTCTCAATATGTCTACGGGTTCCTTAACTACGAAGCCATTTTGGTGATTCCCAATGGTTATTATAATTCTGTTACGTTTATATTTTTTTATAATTCCGAAATCGTTGTTTTATTTTTAATTAATATATATGTTTATAACATAGGTTTTTATCCATTAATAGAAACAAAAGCCCAGGCGCAGCCGGTAATGTAAATATGTAACATGATCCTTGTGCATTGTGGACAGTATTATTTACAACCATCCTCGAAATTTCAGCGGTTACGATCACTAACTCTAGCGGTTACGATAACTTTTTCAGCGGTTACGATTACTAACTTCAGCGGTTACGATCACTGACTTCAGCGGTTACGATCACTGACTTCAGCGGTTACGATTACTAACTTCAGCGGTTACGATCACTAACTTCAGCGGTTACGATTACTAACTTCAGCGGTTACGATCACTAACTTCAGCGGTTACGATCACTAACTTTAGTGGTTACGATCACTGACTTCAGCGGTTACGATCACTGACTTTAGCGGTTACGATTACTAACTTCAGCGGTTACGATCACTAACTTTAGTGGTTACGATCACTGACTTTAGCGGTTACGATCACTAACTTAAGCGGTTACGATTACTAACTTCAGCGGTTACGATCACTAACTTCAGCGGTTACGATAACTAACCCCAGCGGTTACGATTACTAACTTCAGCGGTTACGATCACTAACTTTAGTGGTTACGATCACTAACTTCCTCTGATTTTTCACCAATGGCCAAATGAGCTGTATATTTGTATGATGAGTGCGATTTTCCTCCTCGTGATACTTGTTTTTGTCATTGGGTTTCTTTCTTTCCTGTCGATATCAATTTCGAAGGATTCTATATTCAATATGTTGGTCCGTTACGATTCATAGCTATCGAAAATTCTGCGAAATCTTACCAAATAAGGTGTGGAGACCGATGGGAATGAATGATGGGTCGGTGCAATTGGGCTCCTTAAGAGCAATTTATGACGGGTTGGCGTGTTGGGATTTCTGTCCAATGCATATGAGAATCCAGCTGAGAATTAAAGATGGGTCATTGCATTAGGCCTACCAATGGGAATTAATGATGTGCCGGTACATTGGGCCCACCATTGAGAATTAATGATGTGCCGGTACATTGGGCACAACACTTAGAATTAATGATGGACCGGTACATTGGGCCACCATTGAGAATTAATGATGGGCCGGTTCATTGGGCCCACCATTGAGAATTAATGATGGGCCGGTATATTGGGCCCACCATTGAGAATTAATGATGTGCCGGTACATCGGGCCCACCATTGAGAGTTAATGATGGAGCGGTACATTGGGCCTACCATTGAGAATTAATGATGTGCCGGTTCATTGGGCCCATCATTGAGAATTAATGATGGAGCGGTGCATTGGGCCCACCATTGAGAATTAATGATGGGCCGGTTCATTGGGCCCACCATTGAGAATTAATGATGGGCCGGTTCATTGGGCCCAGCATTGAGAATTAATGATGGAGCGGTGCATTGGGCACAACATTGAGAATTAATAATAGGCCGGTATATTGGGCCCACCATTGAGAATTAATGATTGCCCGGTACATTGGGCCCACCATTGAGAATTAATGATTGCCCGGTACATTGGGCCTAGCATTGATAATTAATGATTGCCCGGTACATTGGGCCTACCATTGAGAATTAATGATGGACCGGTACATTGGGCCCACCATTGAGAATTAATGATGGGCCGGTACATTGGGACTACCATTTGGAATTAATAATGGGCCGGTACATTGGGCCCACCATTGAGAATTAATGATGGACCGGTACATTGGGCCTAGCATTGATAATTAATGATGGGCCGGTATATTGGGCCTACCATTGAGAATTAATAATGGAGCGGTGCTTTGGGCTCAACGTTTTAGAATTTGAAATAGTTGATGACGTGCAGCATTGGGAAATACTTGATTTAGCACCGTGAAAGGTTGGAGCATTGCATAGTGTTCGCCTTTCTAAAGCCAAGCATAACGGTAATGCCCGGTCATAGCCCTTTAAAATATATGGTGACAGGGTGTTTTATAAGGCCATCATTTGTAAATTATGATAGAGCATTTGAATATATCAACATTACCAACAATTTCAACAGATACGATGTTGTTCCTTTATTACAGATATGATATTTTAAAAAAAAAAAAACACATGTTAAAGTGTATCACCCGAATAGCTGTATTATACATATTTAGTATTACGCACTGAATATCAGGTGGTTAAAATGTCTATCGGGTTAATGTACGATATAACCTGGATACCTTATAATGAGACTGTACATGTGTAAATTTTAATACACAACTCATTTTTACGCTTTGCGACTTCATAAATACAGGTATTGCAGTAAGACAAAACTAATCTATATATAGCTCATGTATTGACTACAATGTACGTATATCGTTTCGCGTAACTTGACCTGATAAATAACTGGTATTCTATAATTATCTTCCGGGTCTGAAGTGCGTCTCGATATAAGCAAACACAGAGAAGGCATGACATATAAGAAAATATGGCGGGTGTGAGATCGAAGAAGACAAAAACACACGAGCCCACTTATGAGGCAAACCCGGGGGTAGAGGATGAACACAAGATTAGTAACCAGTGCGACTCCAGGAGAGACAAGGCTATTGTGGCAGCGATAGACTTTGGCACCACGTATTCTGGGTATGCCTTTACGTTCTGGAGTGAGTATGAGAAGTCAGCTGGAGCACGAGAGATATTCAGTAATAGATGGTCTCCAAATACGGGGTCACTTCTGTCGGCTAAAGCCCCCACCACTGCCCTCTTTGACCCAAAGATGACCTTCCACTCATTCGGATACGAAGCAGAGGAGAAATACGCAGACCTCATACAGGCGAAACAACATCAAGACTGGCACTGCTTCAGGAGGTTCAAAATGAAGCTACACGACAAAATGGTAACGCAAATTGTTAGATATTGAATATTTGGACACAGATAGATATAACAAAAATAGTCGATCCGCTAAAGATAGGAAAATGTATTATAAATATAAAATTTAGATAGACGTGACTGAAGGAGGGAGTCCTGTCTTCTACTAGTTGGACACGGAAGAGACCAAAATAGATCTGCTACCTCCATTGCTCTCTCTCCTGCATGTCTGCTGTGTGTGTGTGTGTGTGTGTGTGTGAGTGTGTGTGTGTGTGTGTGTGTGTGTGGTGGTGGTGTGTGTGTGTGTGTGTGTGTGTGAGTGTGTGTGTGTGTGTGTGTGTGTGGTGTGTGTGTGTGTGTGTGTGTGTGTGTGTGTGTGTGGTGTGTGTGTGTGAGGGTGTGTGTGTGTGGTGGAGTGTTTGTGTGTGGTGTGGTGGTGGTGGTGGTGGTTGTGTTTGTGTGTGTGTGTGTGTGTGTGTGAGTGTGTGTGTGTGTGTGTGGTGGTGTGTTTGTGTGTGGTGTGGTGGTGGTGGTGGTGGTGGTGTGTGTGTGTGTGTGTGTGTGTGTGTGTGTGTGTGTGTGTGTGTGTGTGTGTTGTCTTTAACTAAGGATTTTTTTTCTTCATTTTTTGTAATATCGATATGTGATACTTGTGTATTGTAATGTAAAAGTAATTGTCGTAGTAGTGAATGATATGAAAAATTGACATTGAAAGGTTGTCAACGATAATACATATCTGCCAACTTTCCTGATTCAGTTGGGAGTTTCCCAATTCTCACTCCCCAGCCCCACCTCGTATGGATCAAAATTGGGGTGATCTCCCGATTTCAGAGATTTAGGTAGGTTAGAAGTAGCAGGTAAGATGGACCACCTAGCCACATCACCTCAGTTAATCGCTGACCGCTACGCTTGGGAACACACGACTCATTGTTCCCTATGTATGGTAGACCTGGAATCGGAGTGGGTTGTGGCAAATACTGATAATTCAAAAAATCCTAAGCTTGTACGTGTACCCTATTCTGGGATGATCTCTACAATTTGTTAAACAACTTCAGAATTTATTACAATAAATGGGATTTGGAGGTTAATGTATCAGAATCGAATGTAGTGATATTTGGTCGACAGAAGATACCAAGTCATTTTAAATGATTTAACGTTAATTTTTATGGTAAGACATTAGATATATTTGAGGAATTTTAGTATTTGGGCATTTTATTTTTAAGCCTGGAAAGTTTATTAGAGTTAAAAAAAACAAAACACTTAAAGGAACTAATGCAATGTATAAGGTTTCAAAAAGGTAGATTACGCAATCTGACAATACAGTGTCAACTGGACTTATTTGATAAGTAGTATTGCTATATGGTTGTGAAGTATTGGGGTTTTCTGATAATACGGTCATCGAAAGAGTCCATTTAGAGTTGTGAAGTCTGCTTCTTCAACTTAAATCCTCCACTCCTGATATTATGGTATATGGAGAGCTCGGTAGATTTCCGCTCGATATTGGAATTAAAACCAGAATGCTAAGCTTTTGGACAAAGTTAATAGAGCCTAAAGATAAAAAAATCAGCAATTTATTATATAAAGTATCAACTATGTAAATGAAGAAATTGTTGTTTAATTGCGTGGTTCGATGTCCCGAATCAGCCACCGTAGAAAACCTTAGTTTTTTTAAACAAATAAGTATATGCATTAACAGACAAAATTTCACTTACGAATGTTGTATCACGCTGTTTCAATATTCATACATTTCTATTGGTCATATGGTTGGTAAACCGTTTTGTGATAAATCATCCATTACATGTGCACCTAGACCCTGAATCGCCAAATGGAAATCACAGATGAGGCTGGAGGTCTGTTTCCCGCCAAAACAGTGTTCACTGAAAGCATCAGATATCTGCGTAATCATGTGCTGACAACGATCGAAACTCGAAATCCTATGAACTGCCAGGACGCCATCTCTTGGGTTCTCACAATTCCCGCCATTTGGACGGAGCCCGCCAAACAGTTCATGCGCGAAGCAGCATTTGACGTAAGCAATGTTATATTAGTAGACTGGTACTACCTATACTGTTTGCTCTCGCGTTATACCTTAAAAGGTACGCAATACACACAATAGAATAAATTTAGATGCATTAGCACCAAATACAGACTTACACTACATTTGATAAGCAATTGCTTCGTCCTATATGACTCGTCAGTATGCCAAGGGACCTTAATTGTGAAACCAAGATAACAACTGGGGAAAATAGAAATTGATCGATAGAAATGTCAAAATCCTAATTTTGGTAGGGGGAGTTACAAGATTTAATCAATTTCGTAAATTTGTGTTTTCATGTTTCTGACAAGTCAATATGCATCTATTCCGAACCAAGCCATTATTCAAATGAATTAAGTCATGGTATGCAGGATACGAAAAACCTCGGGAAGTCAATGTCTACCAGAAATGTTTACCAACTGCAATTTCAAGTATTGTACAAAAAAGGATAAGTGAATAGCACCTTTCAATAGAAATTTAAATTAAATGAAAATTAATTGAACACCAAGAACGATGTCAGTTGAAACTTATTTTATTTGTTCAATATTTTCAAAACAAATACATTAATGATTCGAAAACAGGTATATCCATAGTATTTTTAATTGGCGGCAGGACAGCGCTGTTACATACATCTGCTATTATAACAAACAAAAGAACAAAGAAGGGAGGGATAGCGCAAGGGGAGGGGGTGTACTAGGAATTGAAAAAAGAGATAGTTTTATATAAATGAGGAAGAGCATATCATAGTAAAACCGAATAGTTGTCAATGACAAGGTTTTAATTTGGAACATTTGAAAAAAAATATTTACATTACAAATATATTATGTTGCCTCGCAACGATATTTCTTATCGCCTTCTTGCTAAGAAACATGGTGAATTGAATTATATTGATACAAAATCTTCTGCGAAATAAGATACCTTATTACAGTTCCCGTGTACAACGTTGAAAGTGATATATGTTAAATAAATCTCAATTATAATGATTGTGCTGTAATAGTGTGTTTCTTTATCAGGCTGGGATTCCCGCGGCAGATCTGCAGATTGCCCTTGAGCCGGAAGCAGCCGCGATGTACTGTCGCTCCCTCCCAGAAGGCACCTTAATCGACTCCAAAGACTGTGTGGTGATGGACGCCTTCCAGCCGGGGGGATCGTATATGATAGTAGACATAGGGGGTATGTTTATTTTGCATTTTCGAGTATCTACGGTTCTTGGTTGTAATAGATAACAGTTTCTTTTCTTAGAAACTTTACATGTATATCTTCGAAAGAAAACCGTTTTTGGTGAATGGCCACAGAACTCTTTGTCTCATGTATGAACGGTTTCTGATTTGTGAGACCCATCGGATCCCATGGTTAAAATTTCTTTTAAAAGGAAGATATATAGAGTAAGAATATAGGCAAATAAGATTTTGTATCCGTATGCTAAAATGTTTTTTTCACAACTAATAAAAAATATCTAAGTTATGTGATAAACAGAATCTTACACTCGTTTCCATTTCATATGAGACATATAGAACTCTTTACGAAAATTTCATTTTAACTTGAAGCAGGCTTCGGGAAATAAAAAAATATCTAAGGCTGGTTTTATATATCTCAAATGAATGGAAACTCATTGTATGATCCTCTTAAACCGAGCCAACTATAATGTGAATTCTTACCTAGGAGGTACAGTGGACATGACGGTACACAAGGTAGGTGATGACAGAAATTTGGTGGAAGTTCGACAAGCGTCTGGCGGACCATGGGGAGGCACTTCGGTCGATGATACTTTTTACGACTTCGTTGTCCAAAAATTTGGGAAAGAATTTATTGAAAAATTCAGAATCGAACGAGCGAGCGAGTGGATGAAGTTGTCAATGGATTTTGAAACGCAGAAAAGGAAACTGAAGTATGATACTAACTATAATATTAAATTGGAAATTCCACAACGTCTTATTGCGGAGAGCAACTTACCCGTAAACGACATACAATCATTCAACAAACTAAGCATAGAGAATGATGAATTCAAAAGTTTCTTTCGACCCTCTTCCGAGGATATCGTTGCCCACATCCGGATGATTCTGTCAGAAACGGAAAATGTTGATCTGATATTATTGGTTGGTGGATTTGCCACATCCGGATATCTTAATCGGGTCATTATGGACGCCTTCCCCGACAAACGAGTGGTTGTACCACTCCAAGCAGAAGTAGCCGTAATGTATGGTGCTGTGCTGTTCGGGTTCGAACCTACGGTCGTTTGTTCAAGAGTTTGTCGACACACTTATGGAATCGATGTTTTTGAGAATTTCCGAGAAGGATATCATCCACCAAATTACAGGGAGATAATTGACGGTGCTCCATCATGTGTCAACGTGTTCAGTGTTCTCGCATCGGAAGGGGAAACCATAGGTATTTCCGAAATACGCACGCGCACGTATTCGTCCACACACCGAGAGAAAGACAGACGTTACCTTGAAATGGTGGTGCCGGTGTACGCCTCAAAGACTGCGCTGCCAAAGTACACGACTGAAGCATCCTGTGTGGAGCTCGGTCGCATCAAGATGGAGCCACCGGCGGAAGGATGGCCACCGGAAGTCCATTATTCTGTTCACATGTTCTTTGGACAGACCGAGTTTAAGGTTACAGTGAAAAACGATGTCACTGGACAAGACTACAACTCAAGCCATGACTTTCTAAAATGATGGAAAATAAAGAAAGAAAAAATCAAAAGAAAAAAAAACTATCGCATATCTGATAGTATTATGCGTATATAATGTCATATATCTAATTCTATATGGATTCGAACGATGTCAACAAGACGTGATGGCGCTGATTTTGAACAAGCTACCTGGATTTTTAAAAAATGTTTCACATAGTTAACATGTATACACTTGCTAGTTTTTTTTTAAACACTTTTGAAATGTATTGTCTATGTCTAGTGTTTCAAATGTATTCCTCGTATCTGGTTTCGAAATTTATTTTCTTTGTCTAGCGTTTGAAAGCTATTTTCTCAAAGTGATATTTACATGATCGACAGGGTTATAACGCGAGTTATCCTAATCCGTATATAGCAGGCCAACGTAAGTTAACATTTATTCATGGAACAATGCTGATTCAGTATGTTACCAAAACGATGTCAGGTAGTATCTTATACTGTGTATCTTAGGTACAAGTACGGGGTCAACATTATTAGGCAAATAACAAAATGCCATATATATCACGAACGAAAATAGATACTGTAAAACCCCTCCGAACTGAAATAATTTTCCACGTATTTTTTCCACGTCTTTTTATTTTATTTTATCAATGTATTTTTATTTTCAGACACGCCTTTTTACATGATAATATTTTTTTTACATATTTTACACAGGCTACCCAATGTCTACTTGAATCCGTCCAACACATGTCGCTGTGATAATTTCTAACATGGGTATTTTATGTTATTTTTCTTATATATATATATATATTATATACAAGTATATGTATGTACATTGTTTTGTTTTGCTTTAGGACATGATGGGAAAGACAATTACGTAGAAATTGCGAAAACCCTGTGCCATAGGGATCTGAGAATTTGTGATAGGAAACTGATAAATAAAGACTTAAACGCTCCAGAGAGTCGGATCACCATTCAGTAATTCTGTTTTTGTTTTATATCGGCTATAATGACACTTCTGTTCTCTGTGTCGAGCATGACGTCATAATGACGAATTCGGTTATATGCAAATATAGGGGGGAAAGAAATGTGTGCATATATATATAATGTTTGCAGGAGGAATGTAGGCACGCATGGTTATATGACGCAATGAAATTAACAAATATATATATATATACACCAATAAAATTTTGATTTTACGTGTCTGTTGTCTTAACCATCTGTTAAAATATCAACTTACAAACTATGTAAGTTAACCTGAGTTAACATACAGTATGTTATTTTAAAACAAATTATACATTTTTGATTACAATATTTTTCCTTGCACAAACCGCCATGGCGGGTCGATCCCTACACATAGGCCAAAACACCAATGTTTGTTTGCTTTCTGTGTTGACCATAATATATTAAAAATATCAAACTATCAATTCTTTTTATTTTCATGAAGGTTTCTGAACTTCTGCCATCGTTAATAGGCGTGATATGGCAGCCATTTTGTAATATGATTGCGTAATATTAATGCTAGAACCATAAAATGGTCTCCAATGAAAGCTTATGAGTTTTTCTTTAATTTGATGCCAAAAGTATGTCCACCAGCTAATCTGCATATTTATGAATATTAATTATTTTGTTCAAAATGGTCGACTTTTTGAGTAACTTAATTAATATTTTACCTCTAGAGTGTAAATTTCCCTTCTGGCATGGTTTTTCTTCGTGTTGTATTAAAGTAAACTTCATCGTGGATATGTTAAGCTATGTTTGAACTTTGAGTGTTGGGCCGTTCAGGTGTGACGTCATTTTAAATCAACCTATCCCTAAAATTTTGCAAACGTGCAACAGAACATAAAGACATAAGATATTGTGATATCTTGATTGATTTCAAAATTAGAGTCGTATCATTTGAATGATATGATGTCTGGTTTAATTAAATGCTAAAATATGTAAATGAACTCATTTGCATCATAAGTTGGCATGAGGTCCGCAATACAGTAAGAATGCTTACACTAATAAACCAATATGCACCGACAAGCAACACATGCATTCTTTTCAAATGAAATCGAGTGAAAATTCTTTAATGGTAACCTAAACTGTTTAAAGGACGTTAAGTCCTTAAACCAAATCACTGATACCATCACAATATGTTTATCAGTAACTTGAAATAAAATACTTAAGTTCTAACAATAAAATAGGAATAAATGGTCAACCTTGGCGCACACCGCACAGAAAACGAAACCAAAATTAAATTAAATCAAACTGAAATTGTACAACGAATAAAATTTTGGTCAAATGCAAGAAAGAAAGTTTGATTTTTGCGTCTTAACATTTCCTTTTTCTATTGTTTCTGTCATTTTTATAAATCAGAATCAAAATGGAGCGACCTGTAAAACTTAACTGCGAAAAAAAGAAATCTGCAAGGAAATCGTCAATAGGCACTAGTCAAAGGCAGTGCTTAGAACATTTTGAAGATTAAAGATGTGATGAAGAAGTCGGGGGACTTATGGATTTAACAAGATAAAAGAAGTTGCTAGGGAAAGATTAATGTCTGCATCCTCTAAAGACAGGCTGGAAAACTTGTCACTAATCCTTCCAGATACCCTTGACCTCGTCAGTCATGCGACCCACAGAAAACGCTACCAACGACATACAAATATAAATAAACTTCAGAAAAGGAAATTAAATGTGCGGCAAGTTTATCAAAGCGCCCACGACCCTCCTCTTCTTGCAGTAGTAATGTGCTGTTTCCAGCTGACCAGCGTATATTTTGAGATAAGGAAACGATTAAAGTAAAAGGTGAAAATAAAAAACAAAGACCGACAAAGTGTGTGACAGAATGTGCAGAAGAGTCGGTTAAATTAGAAGTCACTAACAAATGCGATGATAATTTGTGTGGTTAAGTCCTAGACCAAGATTTGGTGGCAAGAGAAGCTTGGTACCACAATGTTTGTAGATGGAAATACACTAGAAGTAACAATACAAGACATGTCTCTCACAAAGAATTCAGAACAATCCAATCCATAGAAGCTCACTAAAGCGCCCACGGCTCACCAAAGCGCATTTGAGCATATTTGCAAATATACATGTACATAAACACACATCATCGAAAGGCGGTCTAAATGCCAGTTATATTGGCCAGGCCAATAGGGAAGAATTTATACAGGACAGAATAACGAATCAAACTACCCCTTCCACAGTCCTATCTAACGGAACAAAGTGAAGAAAACGCTCAAGAGCTCCCAAAACAAAATCACACGGATAAAAGCAGAGCGAAATATCTTTGACCAACTGGTCCTGCTGTCTGTGCAAAATGACATTGATCTTGAGTTCACGTTGTCATACCCCTTGAACCCTGTTCCGTGGTCATAAGTGTAGCGGATGGTGTTGTGAAATAAAAGAGAACCAAAACCGCTGGGTTCGTTCAATGTTTAATCGATGTAAAATAGACATTCTGGAATATACAATAAAACATAATCCAATACTCTCACAACTTCACAAATCTCTCGTTACATATTCAACAATTCATACTCTTCTTTAATTAACACATTACATTTCACCGAGTGAAACAATATTACTACTTCTACATTAAGAATATAAGATATAATATAATATTAGAACGAATAAATACTTTATAACATGACCATTCCAATAGTAATAAAGTAAAATCACACTTACAACATGTATCTTGCGCTAATGTACAAGTCATGTATAAGTTTGCAACACTCCACAATATCACCTCATCGTCAGTTATAGTAGAACTACACATAAGAAATAACTTCTTATTCAATTTACAGAATATTTCAAGCCAGAACTTTACGAATATTATAATACATACACATTATTGATTCTAAATATTACCCTGAAGGTTCAGTTACCGTTAAAACATACCATTAAACACTATATTGTTCATGCAAACACTCATAATCGCAGGGAAAATATACGAGAAGAAATACTTTAACTAGAAAGAAATAAAGTTAGAGAAAACTTACCATAAAGACAAACCCGAGGAACCTGACATTGAACGCCCGTCTAACCCGCAAGCCAGGATTCAATTGTATCACGATATAGTAAAAGACAAAAGACGAATACCCTGGAGAAACTTTCAACCAATCAAACACCTTCGTCAAAGTCCGTCAAATGTCTTGTGTCCAGTCGGTCAGTGAACACTAGTCACGTACCCAAGTACATACATATACACTACACAAAGGGACGCGCTCGCCAATATGTATACACGTTACGTGCGCAGGTAAAACGTGATACTAACGATGTGCTTGAGATGATAAATATTACATACATGTACATAACCAGTACATATATTTTGAGCAATGCATGTTGGCTTACGGTATAGCAGTTCATCAACACAACCCATAAATGATTAGAGTGTGATGTTTCGATGATTACACGGTCACCTTCATCCGACAAATGTGTAAAGCGCGCAAGTCTGTAGGAATCTTCCAACTATTTTCAGCTGTACAATAATCTTATGTACACTATGGTAAAAATAGCATGATAAGGTTCTTGAAACAACATATCTTTAAAATGAATCTTGATGGCTTCCTTGACCAGTCGCCTGAAAAGTCTGTTTTCCTGTAGACAATTTTGTAATATTCCAAATGTTCCGAAAACGGTAGGTTGCCTCTTTTTGAATACTGCCGTGTTGTGCCAGTATGGTCTACTTGGTAGCAAATAAGTGGGGAAGAAAGTCGCAGAGCTTGGCTACGCTTTATTCACGGCAAACACAACAACCAAAAATGTCTCACACATCTTTTGATAACTTAACACGATGACCGGGTCTAAATATCCGATAAGTGTTTATATACTACAATACAAGCTATAGATACTACAGGAATCACTACCAATATACAAAATATGACCATATTACATAAGCCATAGCTGATAGTATGCCTGTCAAAACAGATAAAGCAAAGCTTTTGCACTACATTGAAACATCATTTGAACCAACATTGTTCCGTCCAAGTGACGGCGTTCTTCATATTTTTGATGGAAATGCAATACTACAAAGTCTGGTATCTATTCTAGATAATTTTTAAAATTTCTTCCCAAATCTGGACGATTTTGTGACTGACACATACAAAGATGTCAATCAAATCATTCGAACGTAAACGGAGATGTTCCACGCCCACATTTTTGCTTTCTGGACCGAAGACAAAAACACCAAAGGACTGGAAGAGTTTCATGGGGAACTGAGCTGTTTCCGACCACGTCCTTTCCTCTACACAGGAAGAGGCAGACACTCACGTTATACTTCACTGCATTCATGTGAGAGACAGAGTCGGATAATACCAAAATATTGGTAAGGTCTCATGACACAGATGTCTTGGTTCTACTTTTGCAAACACACGTTCTTCGGTACTGGTTATGGAAACAAGCGGAGACTACTCAGTCTTGCCAGTCTTCCACTGTCTTACCGCCTGTGATACTACGAGTGCCTTTGTTCGCAGAGGAAAGATATCTCTCTCAAACTTGTTGAAAAGAACCCTGACTATATATCTACGCTTTCAAAGCTTGGCCAAGAACATGAATGCAACAGTGAATTATTGGAAGAAATTGGAAAACCAGTTTGTGCGATGTACGGAAAGCCCAAATACAATGACATCAACAACATACGTTATGACACGTTTTGCAAGAAGAAACTCCCTGACATTTAAAGAAGTGGCCGGAGATTTGATGTAGAGGGGATTGAGTATGTATGGACAAGTGGTGCAATTATGCCACAAAACTTGGTTGACGTCATATGTGCGTCTATTGAGTTTGACAGCGAAAATGAGGACGAAGATGAAGTGGAAATGAACAGTCTTGTCGATGAAATATTTGATGAGGAAAGTGACGATGACCATGACTGAAAAAAAAATCACATCTTCAGTGCATTACTTTGACAGCCATATAAATCATACTTGATGGATTGGAGTTCATTGCCGAAATATCATTTGTTCTAAATGGAACTTTGGTTGTAGAACACATTTAAGATTTATACTTTATAAGTGAAAATACTCGTTTTTACAAAAAGAAATATTTTTAGTAACTTAATTAATATTCATAGATATGAAATTGATTTGAAACAGCGTCATGTCCAAACGACCCTACACTCAAAGTTCAAACATAGCTTAAAATGTTGACAACAAAACCTTCTTTCATAATAAACTAATAATAATTATGGCAATTTGAATTTTTATAATCAAGGGGTAAAAACATGCCATATGTTATGAAAAAAGTCGGCCATTTTGAACAATATCATTAATATTCATAGATATGCAAATTAGCTAGTGGACATGTTTTGTCATCAGATTAAAGAAGAAGCCATATTTGGGACTAATTTGATGACTCTAGGTCTAAAATTAGTGAAGTTATAACAAAGTTTATATTGTAAAAATCATCATAAAAAATAGGGGGCAGGGGCTACTTTACAATGGCGCCACACAAACGTGTGGCCTATCTTTAAATAACTTTCGAAGATCCCCGAGATTTTCCGTAAAAGCAGTTTTCATAAAAGTCTCATCTGATAACGAAAGTATAGGTCTGTGATTAGAAGGACTGAAATTCTGAATGCTGGAATTGAACTTCGTGTAACTCGAATATAACACATGATTTCGACCAACTTTGAAATAAGTTCACACAGTAACACAAATTCTTCCAAAGATTTAAAAGATCTGTTTGAGTCAGTTGAACAGATATGTGGCAGCGTTATTTTGCTGATTAAGCACAATTGATCTTTGTTGGTGTTCAATACACCTTTTTTTCTCATGTAAGAAGCGATGAACAACTATTACTGCGAGTAAGTGGTATTTTCCTATACGAGTTACCTCCCTTTACATAGTATAAAAATAGTAGTTAATTTGCATTTTTTTCATGAAATTATGGGTCATGTTTGAGCAGTTTGGTTATGAAATATACATCCTTGCATATTTATATATCTATGAACTACACAACAATTACATTAATAGTAGAAAGATAAAATTTGTGTAAATAAAAAATTCTCCCTGATTCTGACATGTGATTGCCATAGTTACCAACTCAAGAAATGCTAAAAATGCAAAAATACTGCTAATTATAACTTACCACTAAACCTTTCAAGAAGAATTATATTTATGAACACCTATCTTAAAATCAGCAACACTGTCATGGTAACAAACAACTTACATTTCAGCAAATTCCAGCTCACAAATCTTTTACAACATGACCATGTATAAATACTGTGAAAATTAGACTTTCTGTAAAGCTAGTTTTTGGCTCCTAGACACAGATTCGGGATTTTCCAAATAGTTTTTTCCAGCACAAAGCTAAAATATCATTTTGAAAAATGAGACCGTACATTGTCCATTTCAACATGACAAGACCAATTTTAGCAAGGATTTAAAAAAAATAAAACTATTATAATGGGATAATCTAATGAACAAAAATATCACCCATGGCCACACCGAGAAATCCCCGATAAATTGGGGATTTCCAAATCGAAAGTTGGTTATATTTTACGAAATGGACTAAATAAGCGGCTGTGAATGCAATATTCAGGATTTTCAGTAATTTCGATACAACAAATTAATCCGTCTGACATGTTTAAATTGTAACCAGGTAAACTACAAAAGTTCACGAGGAAGCAACATGCATCAAAATATTGAGGATTCCATCTATAAGTGAAATGGTGTTGCTTTTTTGTCCCCATTTCGTCCACTTATCAAACCGAAAGTGGATCTTCCGGAAACCCCATACGCTGAATGAAAAAATGGGGAACCCTTCTATCTGACGAAGAATTATTAACACCCTGTTGAAGACTCTGTCACCTGTTTACAACACGTTACTTTACCTGGAAACCCAAAGATGAGTTATTTCCTGGAGGAGGAATAGGTAATCCTCGTAAAATGTTAGTCACAATATACTGCTCGGCTAGAGAACATTGCTCTTGAGCCCATTCGGTTCGGTAGGTTGCATATTTATTGTTATAAACAAATAAACAGGTTTTATGCGAACAAAATGTAACAACAACAACAACACACAACAACACATTCTGATTCTGATAATCTCCTCTTTGACAATTATCACCATCTTCGTGACACAACAGACGTAGAAAATCAGCTGAGCGTCAGACCAGAGAACACGGAAATAAATGATGACTTACTGAGATAAAAGATGACTTTTGTTACATAGGAGCCAGAGGAAATAGTGCTACAAAAGATCATAAGTATGTTGTCAGGAATAAGTCAGAGATGGTTTTGACGACTTTTGTTGTTGTTGTTTTGTTTTTGTTTTATTTTGTTTTTTGGGCGGGGGGGGGGGGGGGGGGGGGGGGGGAGGGTTACAGTACAAAGAATTGGTTGGAATTGTTGACATCTTCATAAACACATTGAAAAATATGTTCTTTTTTTCAGGTCTTGTTGAGTTAGTGACAAAATTAGAAAACCAGATAAGCCTTATAGAGAGCCAAGTCAGCTATTTGGAGAACTAGGTTATACGCTTACAGAACCAGGTCAGCCACTTTGGAAACTACGTATTGTAGGTCGTCCACACGGGGCGGGTCATTCAAAAGAGCACTAGACCATCCTCAATGAGAATTAGATCAGTAACATAAAAAAACTTCAGAGAACTGAATCAGCTACACTGAAAATGAGGTCAGCAATTGATAAAACAAAGTTTGGCAGATAGAGAACAATGGAGAGGATTTCTTGGTACCATATGATATAATTGTTAACTCCTCACAAAAAGCCAGCGTGATGGCTAGTCCTGGTGAGGGAAATGGTGAGTAAAATTGTCACAATGAAAACAAACAGAATTGTTTTAATATACGATTGTAGTTTGATTCTATAATTTTTGTACTGAAATTGTAAACATTGATTTTATTATTATTATTTTAAAGGGTCAATGTGATGTTTGATAAAACCTTCTGCAGATGATACTTACCAAATTGTCTCACATACATTTCATTTTTGATATCTGATATATAGATAGAGGTCAGATAAATTTCAGTTTTGGATATCCGACACAAAGGTCAAAAGTTAGATAAATTCATGTTTTGGATATCTAACACAAAGGTCAAAAGTTAGATAAATTTATGTTTTGGATAGCTGAAACAAAGGTCAAAGGCAGACAGATTTCAGTAATAAATATCTTGACACCTAATTCAAGGTCAAATGAATTTCCATTTTTGGATATCTGACGCAAAAGTCAAGGTCAGAAGGATGGAAACGTTTGTCATCATCAATCAAGTAGATACATGACTTAAGTTCATGGTCACTAGATCAAAGAAAGAGGTAACACAAATGAAATGGCTACTGATGGGTAAGCAGTTTGTTTTGACATACAATGTATACTGCAATGAAGTTGTTCAGAGGTCAGCAAGAAATCATGTTATAAATGTCAAGGTCACAAGATCAAAGGTCACATAATTTAAGTAAACACGTTTTGATTTCTTCTTTGATACAAAATTCTAAACAAGAAATTATCAATCCAAGGTAAAGTAGATAGGTCAGATTTGTAATATCATTTGAACCTGAAGTAGCTATGCAATTAAAAAATATGATCAGAGACAATACTTATGAGGAAATACTTTTACAGAAAAATATGTGATGTATATATGTAAGAAGTTGCTACCTGATCACCAATTACTTCCAAAATTAACACTGAACATAGAATAAATATATGGCCTCTCTGAATGTTAAGGTAACCAGGACAGGAAGCTCAAGCTTGACATTGAAAATGCTGGTCATGTACAAGTGGCTGACGAAGCTGTAATAGTCTCTACACAAGGTAGTACTAAGCCGAAGATCAGCTATGAGTGTCGCATGGCTCAGAAGGAGGGTAAGTACAAAAAGTTACAAATTATATGGTAAAATAATATTTATACAGTCCTTCCCCATGTAAGGGGTTTGTATACAGTAATCACTTCATTTGTGTGTACGTGCTTGCAAGAGTGCATCCATGTAACCTCATGTCTCATGAATTCTCAAACATATTTGATTGATATTTACACCATACCATTATACCAGCAAGGTTTACACTTGACTAGATAGATTTTGGTGGTCATTGGTCAAGTTTAAAGGCTCAAGGTCACTTTTTATCTTCTTTGGTATGTATGTCTATGTTAGCCCCTGCCCACTTTCTTTTTATTTATCATAGGCAGCTGGTTAACCGTGATAAAATCAATTAGCAGATATTGTTTAGAATATACACAAATTGGTTTCATCATCACAGAAAATAGACCTGGGAAACAGACACAATGGGACATCAATATAAATAAGGCAACAACTGTACAGCAGAGTAAATTTGCCATGGCTGATATAAGTCCAACAGGTCCAAGATCCAAGTCTCCTGAGGGTGGTAAGTATCATGGTGACATTACACCAGTCATGAACTCAATTAATTGTTGTAATTTAGATATGTTGTATTATACACCCATCAATTAACATTATTTTGTCATACATCAAAGATTGATTGAACCCAATCACATAGACACAAATTATTATACTTTACATTGGTAAAATGATGCCCATGCTCTAATGGCTGATCAAACACCTAAGAAGTTAACATATATTTTACTTGATGTATAACTATCCTTCATTTTGGAGATCATAGCTTAGTTATTGAATATTGACCTTGATCTGTTTGATTCTTATTTTTCTTACAGTTGAAAAAAGTACGGATACTAGCTTTGATGGGATGTATGTCCGAGGTCACAGCATGGGATTTGGAGAGAACCTTCACTTTTGCTACCAAGACGGACCAAATATTCTACAGATAGCCAATTGCTGTACCTTTATAGAAATAGATATCAACAAAGAGCTGGTGCAGAATATCTGCGATCAGGGTTGTTTAACAGGTAAAATAAACTGGTGTAGGTGTAACGTCATTTAGATCTACCAGGTACATGTCACACAGGTAGGATCAACTAAAGTAGGTATAACATCAAATAGACCTACATGTCACACAGGTAGGATCAACTAAAGTAGGTATAACATCAAATAGACCTACATGTCACACAGGTAGTTTCAAATGGTACATGTATAATATACCTTGTTACCAAACAGGTAGTATTAACATTTATAGGTAAAATATACCTTGATGCATCACATGAAAAATACATGCAACTGAAATAGATTTTAAATAGCCTGAAATAGATCACAGTCATTGTTCAGATTCATTTCAGAAATATGTTGACTAGTCAACCGTATCACTTAACTACATGCAAACACTTGCAAATGATTGGTTACTTCTTGTGTACAATGTCGATAATCTGCTGATTTTTAGAAGATAGAATTACAGGTATAATGATATTATCTATATTATACAAAAGCTTTTCAATTGTTTTCCAGTGGAGGTACCTTTGTCCAATAGCAGGTCACTAATAACATTTAAGTGGGGTAGTTTACAGATGGAGAGAGAGTATATACAGTGTGAAATACTGGCAAAAGTAAAGACTAGACTTCAGTGTGCCGATATCTACAATCTCGAAAAAGGTCTTGTGGAATCACTCCTATGTAATAAGGACAACCAGGTTGAAGAAATTGTGACACATTTCTTTAAAAATTACAAAGCTTATTTATTAGAGATTGTAAATGGAAGTCTTGTGTTTAAATTCCTTGTACATGATGTAAAAGCCAAGGACACACTGTATAGTCCCAAGAGTCTCAGTCGTATCGCAGAGTTCCTGGAGAAGGTTCTAGTAACTAACACAATCAGACAGAAGGCAGGATGTCAACAAGTGTTCTTCCAGGTCACACCAAATCAAGAATGCTTCAGGGCTCGACCCAATGTTAATCACATATTTCAGTTTGATACAAGCATAAACAGGTTTGTGTAGGCATTTATGTTATAGCAGTATGATGTTTTCATAGGGTATATGTTATTAACTAACCTGGTTCAGTACCTATAATTGGCTACATTTATTAACTAACCTGGTTCAGTACCTATAATTGGCTACATTTATTAACTAACCTGGTTCAGTACCTATAATTGGCTACATTTATTAACTAACCTGGTTCAGTACCTATAATTGGCTACATTTATTAACTAACCTGGTTCAGTACCTATAATTGGCTACATTTATTAACTAACCTGGTTCAGTACCTATAATTGGCTACATTTATTAACTAACCTGGTTCAGTACCTATAATTGGCTACATTTATTAACTAACCTGGTTCAGTACCTATAATTGGCTACATTTATTAACTAACCTGGTTCAGTACCTATAATTGGCTACATTTATTAACTAACCTGGTTCAGTACCTATAATTGGCTACATTTATTAACTAACCTGGTTCAGTACCTATAATTGGCTACATTTATTAACTAACCTGGTTCAGTACCTATAATTGGCTACATTTATTAACTAACCTGGTTCAGTACCTATAATTGGCTACATTTATTAACTAACCTGGTTCAATTTCTATGATGAATTGTTATCCTTACATCTTTTAATGTAAATCAATTTCATGTATACTTTATTTCCTTATTCTAAAATCCCAAAATTGTACACTTATGACAATGTTTACAGTTTTTGGTCATTCTTCATCCTTCAGGGAATCATCACCTATTCTGACGGAAGGTTTTTTGGCACGGTTGATACAGAGAATTGTGTCACAAGAATTACAGGCCAGCTTGTCCGAAATCCAGGCTTCTTTATCACATACAGTAGCAAGAACTCTCTCCTTGGAAATGCAAAAAATTTTAGAATCAAGAGAAACCATGTCAAGAGATGAAGTGGTGATGACATCGATTACATCTCCGGAGCATCACAGTCTGGAACCAGAGAGTGTACTTCCAGATGGTTCAAGTACAAGGGCGAGGACTGAAACTCCACCACAACCCAGGCCGAAACTGGAACATGCACTCCAAGATCGTTCAAATTCAGGGAAGCAAAATGCATTTCCAAAAGAACATGCAAGAGCGAGTGTTGTCCCAGATAATTCAAGTACAGAGGCAGAGAATAAATTTTCAGACTTTCCCGAGCTGGGACAAAGGAGTGCACTCCCAGATCGTTTAAATACAGGGACTGCATTTCAAGACCATCTTAGTATGAGTTCAGGAAATGTATTATCAGATAATCCAAGGACAAAATCTCAGCCTACAGTACCAGACAGTCCTTGTATGGAGCCTCACATGGATTTATCAACAGATGTTCTCAGTGTTACGTCTTCAACATTTTGCAAACAAGAAAGAGGAGATGCAAATCAAGGATTATCTGGAGGGAGAGAAGATAGTGATTGTACTCAATGGAGCTTTGCTTGCCTCTTATTTCATCAGGAGGACAGGGAGAAATTATGGTAAAATGTTTGTTAATTGCTGTCGTTGAAATATGTTAATTGTTCTATTTCAAGTATAATAATTAAATGTTGTTTGATTTCATTAGTCCTCTGTTTGTTCTTTAACTTTTCTTTTTTTTTTCTTTGTTTTTTTAGTTTTTTCTTTTTTTTTCTTTGCTTTTTTGTTTTTTAATTTTGTTTTTTTGTTTGTTTGTTTTTTTGCATTTGAAAAGCACAGGATGAATTTTTCTCATGTGCATGTTCGATTTTAGACTGATTAAAAAAATATGATTGCCAAAGTGTGGTCATCCTGAATTTTAACAGTTGTAGTTGGTTTTTTGCTTTATTTTTGAAGAAAAATGATGGATTCTTACTATTAATTATAGTTGACTGTTGCTTCATGACTGTGCATATTGAAACTTGGAACCATTTAGAAATATCTTTGATTTTAACATTGATGATTTCTTCTCAAGGAGGGAATGGATCTTTCTTATGTTTCATTTATTCAATTAGATATTTTTTAAATGTAATAATAGTTAATATATCTGAAATATGACTGTAAAGATTTATTTTTCTGGTGACTAACTTTATTGACTGCAGGCCAGACCAGGCTGAGAGATCAAAAGTGGAGGAGGTCTTTCAGTTAACTGGTAAGTAATTTTCACATTCTTTTGTGTTTTGAAGCATAAAAATGACCACTCTAATTGTCCTACATCATTTGTTATGTCCACTAAAAAATAATATGTCATAATTTATTCACAAAAAATTGAAGGCTTACGACCACAGTTGTAAATAGTACTGTAAAAATTTAATTAAAAACGATCAAATATCATTAATAGTGAAATCAAATAAAATGAGTTTTTTTTCATAACAATTTGTACTGTGTTATTCAGGAAAAATTTTATTGTAGTGTAACTTTCACTTGGTCACCCTTTTGCCAACAGCGTGAAAAAAAATAAGGACTGCAGTTAAAAAATGAATTGTTGAATTAGAAATGTTGTTTAATGTTTCCTTGTTTGTCTGTTTCATGGTCTGTGAATGATTCATTTATCTTGATGTATTTCTTTTCAAAAGAAAATGGAGACCCACTTGATGTTGATACACTACAAGCTGTTCGCTGTGTCCAGAAAATGGTGGATATGAGACGGTTGGCTGAACTTATGTCCAAGCGTATAATAGGTATATAATCACCTTATATCAGCATCTTGATGTTGGATTCAAAGCATGAAGATAGAATATCAAATTTTTTTCAAAGTTTTTAAGTTTTCAGAGACATTCTTGTGTTATGTTGTTGATTTATGTTTGTCTAAAGTGATTAAAAGACTTTCAGTATTGTGTGTCATCCATTTCACTCTGCATACATTGATAGTGTGATCTGTCACATATGGAAGAATTCAGATGTATATCAATATTCTATTCCTTTACCTTAAATGTACCTCAAATATGTAAAACCAATAACTATACAGCTTCTTTTAAAGAACTGAAAAACCCAGAGTCAACATGTATGGTAAGTTATTTTCTAGAATGACTTTGATAAAGTTTATAGAAAAAATTACTTTCACCCATATTAAAGCTCAAAATTTATTTTTCATATGATGTCTTTTCAGGTGGATCCAGCAAACATCATGTCCCTGGGTTGCATACTGTCTTATGTCTTGATGTTTCTGACAGTGTGAAAGGCGAAGCATTTCAGAAAATGGTTGAGTGTGCAGAAAAATTACACGACGGTAAATAACAATTGTAAAATTTTTGTGGCTTATACTGTACATGTACTGAATTTGGCACAATTAAATTGTTGTCACATTTTGGCTAATTAGCGCAATAAAAAGTGTTAAAATTGCTAAAGTATGTACATCTACAGTAAATTCTTCTGGAAAATATTGTTCAAGGATTGGGAGGACATAATTTCTTTGAAGTATCTTAGGTATGTGACCTGATGTAAACATTTCCTTTAACAGGCATTGAAGATAATACTGAAATATACTTGGAAGAGTGTGTTGGAGTTGTCGTTTTTGGAGGAGATGTGAAAATAATTCTGTTACCAACAAATGACTACACTGACTTGGAAGGTATATATAGGTAACACACACAAAACAATGACTACACTTACTTGTAAGGTATATATAGGTAACACACATACAAAACAATGACTACACTTACTTGTAAGGTATATATAGGTAACACACACACAAAACAATGACTACACTTACTTGTAAGGTATATATAGGTAACACACACAAAACAATGACTACACTTACTTGTAAGGTATATATAGGTAACACACATACAAAACAATGACTACACTTACTTGTAAGGTATATATAGGTAACACACACACAAAACAATGACTACACTTACTTGTAAGGTATATATAGGTAACACACATACAAAACAATGACTACACTTACTTGTAAGGTATATATAGGTAACACACATACAAAACAATGACTACACTTACTTGTAAGGTATATATAGGTAACACACATACAAAACAATGACTACACTTACTTGTAAGGTATATATAGGTACCAGACACACACAAAACAATGACTACACTTACTTGTAAGGTATATATAGGTAACACACACACAAAACAATGACTACACTTACTTGTAAGGTATATATAGGTAACACACACACAAAACAATGACTACACTTACTTGTAAGGTATATATAGGTAACACACACACAAAACAATGACTACACTTACTTGGAAGGTATATATAGGTAACACACACACAAAACAATGACTACACTTACTTGTAAGGTATATATAGGTAACACACACACAAAACAATGACTACACTTACTTGTAAGGTATATATAGGTAACACACACACAAAACAATGACTACACTTACTTGTAAGGTATATATAGGTAACACACACACAAAACAATGACTACACTTACTTGTAAGGTATATATAGGTAACACACACACAAAACAATGACTACACTTACTTGTAAGGTATATATAGGTAACACACATACAAAACAATGACTACACTTACTTGTAAGGTATATATAGGTAACACACACAAAACAATGACTACACTTACTTGTAAGGTATATATAGGTACCAGACACACACAAAACAATGACTACACTTACTTGTAAGGTATATATAGGTAACACACACACAAAACAATGACTACACTTACTTGGAAGGTATATATAGGTAACACACACACAAAGCAATGACTACACTTACTTGAAAGGTATATATAGGTAACACACAAACAAAATAATGACTACACGTACTTGTAAGGTATATATAGGTAACACACACACAAAACAAATGACAACACTTACTTGTAAGGTATATATAGGTAACACACACACAAAACAATGACTACACTTACTTGTAAGGTATATATAGGTAACACACACAAAACAATGACTACACTTACTTGTAAGGTATATATAGGTAACACACACACAAAACAATGACTACACTTACTTGTAAGGTATATATAGGTAACACACACACAAAACAATGACTACACTTACTTGTAAGGTATATATATATATAAGGTATATATAGGTACCAGACACACACAAAACAATGACTACACTTACTTGGAAGGTATATATAGGTAACACACACACAAAGCAATGACTACACTTACTTGAAAGGTATATATAACACACAGGTAACACACACACAAAACAATGACTACACTTACTTGGAAGGTATATATAGGTAACACACACACAAAACAATGACTACACTTACTTGTAAGGTATATATAGGTAACACACACACAAAACAATGACTACACTTACTTGTAAGGTATATATAGGTACCAGACACACACAAAACAATGACTACACTTACTTGTAAGGTATATATAGGTAACACACACACAAAACAATGACTACACTTACTTGTAAGGTATATATAGGTACCAGACACACACAAAACAATGACTACACTTACTTGTAAGGTATATATAGGTAACACACACACAAAACAATGACTACACTTACTTGTAAGGTATATATAGGTAACACACACACAAAACAATGACTACACTTACTTGTAAGGTATATATAGGTAACACACACAAAACAATGACTACACTTACTTGTAAGGTATATATGTAAGGTATATATAGGTAACACACACACAAAACAATGACTACACTTACTTGTAAGGTATATATAGGTAACACACACACAAAATAATAACACACATACAAAACTTACTTGTAAGGTATACACACACACAAAACAATGACTACACTTACTTGTAAGGTATATATAGGTAACACACACACAAAACAATGACTACACTTACTTGTAAGGTATATATAGGTAACACACACACAAAACAATGACTACACTTACTTGTAAGGTATATATAGGTAACACACACACAAAACAATGACTACACTTACTTGTAAGGTATATATAGGTAACACACACACAAAACAATGACTACACTTACTTGTAAGGTATATATAGGTAACACACACACAAAACAATGACTACACTTACTTGTAAGGTATATATAGGTAACACACACACAAAACAATGACTACACTTACTTGTAAGGTATATATAGGTAACACACACACAATGTAACACACTACAAAACAATGACTACACTTACTTGTAAGGTATATATAGGTAACACACACACAAAACAATGACTACACTTACTTGTAAGGTATATATAGGTAACACACACACAAAACAATGACTACACACTTGTAAGGTATATATAGGTAACACACACACAAAACAATGGTAAGGTATATATAGGTAACACACACACAAAACAATGACTACACTTACTTGTAAGGTATATATAGTTAACACACACAAAACAATGACTACACTTACTTGTAAGGTATATATAGGTAACTTGTAAGGTATATATAGGTAACACACACAAAACAATGACTACACTTACTAGTAAGGTATATATAGGTAACACACACACAAAACAATGACTACACTTACTTGTAAGGTATATATAGGTAACACACACAAAACAATGACTACACTTACTTGTAAGGTATATATAGGTAACACACACAAAACAATGACTACACTTACTAGTAAGGTATATATAGGTAACACACACACAAAACAATGACTACACTTACTAGTAAGGTATATATAGGTAACACACATACAAAACAATGACTACACGTACTTGTAAGGTATATATAGGTAACACACACACAAAACAATGACTACACGTACTAGTAAGGTATATATAGGTAACACACACACATAACAATCACTATATGAACTATATATACTGGATTTTAAATCTTTTACTCTGAAGTTTTATCTCTAATGAATTTGAGAAAACATTTTCAACAATGGAAAATTGATTCTTTGTAGAGACAATTGAAAATTTAAAAACTGATGGTGAGACAAGTCCATTGCTAGAGGGCATCATTGCTAGTTTACTATTGCTTTTCGGAACAGACAATGGTAAGTACATATAACTAAACACAGGCAAAGCTTACATTTTCTAGAACTATTACTTTGAAAAGGTTTTCATTTTGTAGTCTGCAAGCTGTCTGAAATTCGTTTTTAGAAACACTTCTAGTGCCTGCCTGTATTCTACAATGACTGTTCTGTGAAATTGTTCTAGCAGTTGAGCAAAATATTTGGCTGTGTCTTAGAAATAATGTTGTAGCTTGTATAAATAATCTAGGGATGTTAACAAATATTCAAAAATATAATGATATTCAAATGTTTGTTTTTGAGATTTTTAACTTTTAACAATTAGAAGATTTAAAAAACTAGAATTCTAAAATTTATCAGGTCTTTGTGAACAAAGTCCTCTTTCATTCTGAATAGAATTTGGTTAGCTTAAAACATCAAGGAATCATTTTACCCCTGTACAATTCATCATTACACTGATTATCCTGTATCCAGAGGGGCCGAGGTTGCTGTTACACAAGTTTGTTTCGCACCTCATGTGCATGAAACCAATATGAAAGCCATACCTATAATATTCAGTCTTACAGTATTGTCAATCAGTTTATTCATCATTTAATTCGGTCTTTTCTATGTGACGTTTACTGACAATGATTATAACCTACAGATAACAGAATTATCCAATGCTGCCCTCCTACAAATATTTCAATCACTCTGTCAATGATGTAGGTTATGTGGACAAGTTACAAGTGAAGTTCTCGCAATTTCAATAATAGGAAGTGTAGTGTGTCGTTTGAATACGAATACATGTTGTTCTGGGACTATTATAACAATGTTGTTTTCTTACATTTGTAGAAAAATGATCTAATCACCTGTTTACGTTTTACCATTTCCAGGTTATATTTTTATGTTACATTTGTATTTTTAAAACTGAATTTACCAGCAATACAAATAGGCCTAGAAATCTCAGAAATAATCTTTTCAGTTCATTGAGGTACAAACTATGTTCATACTGAAAATCATCCTAGGTAAAATTCTGATTAATATTGGTCAAAATTTATCAACACAGAAATGTATAATGACTGGCTTATGGGTCACTCTAGATTTCTTCAGGACATACCTGTCAATCACAATTTTGCCCCAAAATAACTAGAAAAGAGGATACCCATTTCATTGGTATTCTATGATGTCACAACAGTGGACATCTATTAAAGAAAGATAACTCTAGTTTTATTTCAGACTTGATGATAAATATATATGAAGTTATCTATTGTTCAGCTACCCTGTCAAATACCCTGGGTTATTATATAAATCATACAAATTTTCAATCACGCATTCTATTCCGTTATTCCTAACATAGTCTACTCTTGAACTTGTGTTATGATAATTGTTTAAGGAAGTGATTGCCTGTCTACAATGTGGCCAAATGAAGAAAATGTAATTGATGTATTACCACCATATCAAATATGAAATATGAAAATAAATGTAATAACAGTTCGGTGTAATGGCTTAAGCAAAGTTTGTGATTCATAGATTATAACAGAAACGATTATCTTTCCAGTGTGGTTGTCTTTAGAGGCAGATTCTGGGTTCCTAGGCCCCTCAGGTACCCAGACATGTGTTGGTTCTATTCCTTCATTTATAATAGACTTATTTTAGATTTGCTCTGTAACTTGACTCATTTTAAAAAATTTTCTGTAGCTTGTCTCATTTTGGATTTGTTCAATAAAACTTGACTCATTTTAGATTTGTTCTGTAGTTTGTTATGTAGTTTGACTCATTTTCAGATTTGTTCTGTAGTTTGACTCATTTTAGATTTGTTCTGTAGTTTGACTCATTTTAGATTTGTTCTGTAGTTTGAGTCATTTCAGATTTGTTATGTAGTTTGAGTCATTTCAGATTTGTTATGTAGTTTGAGTCATTTCAGATTTGTTCGTAACTTATTTGCTCTGTAGATTGATTTCTTTTATTGTTTTTGTAACTTGACTTATTTTAGATTTGTTCACATTTAAATGAAGATCCTTCCTTCACAGTTTGTGAAAAGTATCCGCCTTGCTTGAACCCACGCATTATCCTGATGTCAGATGGTCTGACTACAGATGGAGGTCAAACTGAAGGCATAGACACAATTACAGCTGAGGTAAAGTGTCTTGTGATATTTATAATTTGGTTGGTGTAGCTCCAGGTTGGAGAGATCAGATATCTTGGAACAACTTTTAAAAAGTTGTTCTGGTCTTGTGTAGTAGCATTTAGCCTCAGTTCTGTCAATTTTTTCTAATAGGATAAATTTCAATTAATTTGGAGGTTGGACTAAGGTTAGAACAGAATGTATCAATGAAAACTGGACAGTGTATAGTAATGTTAATTCTATAAAAATAGCTGCATTTCTGTTATGGTTATTATGACTTTGAAACAAAGATGCATGTGATTATAATTATATGGTTGTCCATCTGCCCTTCTCTTTGTCAACACTTTCATTTAAGCAGATTTTCAAAAAATCCAAATGGATATTGATAAATCATATGTAGATGTTAAAAAGGGTATTTAATTATCCATTCAACATTCTCAATGTCAACAGGTCAAAGGTCAAGGCCAAATGTTGTATTGTAGTGACTATTTAAGATTTTGTTGGAAAGTTGGTCAAAATAAAATAAATCAACTGACTTACGGTTAATGTCGAGTCAAAGGTCATAACCAAATCTCTCAGCTGTGGACAACGTTCTATGTTACTATGAAGTGATGTTATTGAAACCAAAAATCTGAATCTTTTAGTCTACTTGGTGATGTTTTACTGATATTATGAATGAGACTTGTTCACAATTAAACAAAAACTCATCTGAATAAAAATCAATGTCATCAGGTCAACAGTCAAGGTCAAAGTTTATATCTCTTATTTAATGATTTAATGTTTTTGTCAATATATGATAGAAAAGTTGGTACGAATCAAACAAGGAGACATGTTTTTGTCAATATATGATAGAACAAGTTGGTAGGAATCAAACAAGGAGACATGTTTTTGTCAATATATGATAGAAAAGTTGGTAGGAATCAAACAAGGAGACATGTTTTTGTCAATATATGATAGAAAAGTTGGTAGGAATCAAACAAGGAGACATGTTTTTGTCAATATATGATAGAACAAGTTGGTAGGAATCAAACAAGGAGACATGTTTTTGTCAATATATGATAGAAAAGTTGGTAGGAATCAAACAAGGAGACATGTTTTTGTCAATATATGATAGAAAAGTTGGTAGGAATCAAACAAGGAGACATTTTACGAAATGTCAAGGTAAAGGCTGTAATAGTTCTGTAATTAAGATGAGGATGAATTCTACTTTGTACTTGTATTGGATATGGTATATATGTAGCAAGGTACACAAGTGGGCCAGTGCTGACTTCTGTCAGAGATCTTTTACCTGGAATGACATTGAAGGTCACAGTAGAGATTAAACAACTTGCATGTAATACAGGACCGATAAGCCTTTTGTTGTACCAATAATTGTCTGTCGTTTGTTTGTCAAGGTCTCTGACGTCATCAGTATATCCTTGCCCATGCTGCTCAGGGCTTCACACAACAAATGTAGCATCAGCTGTGTACAGTTTGGTAGGAAGGTGAGATCATATACAGCAGTATATAAACATGGCCTTAATTAATGCATTAGCCATGATTACTTGATATGAGGTGCTGGCAGGGCCAATCTGCATCCTTTTTTGTAATTGACATATGCATGTTGATATGGTGAAATGATACAATCATTATTCCAGTCATCAAAAACACCATATACTGCTTCTTAAATTTTTGAAACAATTTCTTGTCACCTCAAACTCAGAGGTGTACTGGTCTGTGTTTAAAAGAGCACAGTTCTAAATCAAGGTATCAGAAAGAACTGCAACTTCTGAGGCCTGGTTTCAAAATTACATACCAGTACATGTTTCAACCAGCTAGACATACCGTCAACAAGGCACAATTAACTTGTGTGTGTTATAATGATAATAATAATAAACTTTATTTATTGAGGATATAAAACATATTTAGCCAACAGCTTGCACATGATCCTCTGGTAATTTACATCACTGGTAATGTGAAACTGAATAATGATGGAGGTCATGTGACTAAGACATGGAGAATGCTCAAAGGGAGCGCAGTTCTGACAGTATGAAGTAAAACTAAGACCAGAAACCTGTGTTGAATCATTGGTAAAGTGCAGAGGTCATTTTCATGTTTCTTGATACAGTACAAGTGTCACCATGATCATTAAAGATAAAATTTTTCAGAAAATGGCTTCCAATCATTCTGATGAGGAGTGTTTGCAGATTTTTATGAACCCTTTATAAAGTGTTTTCTCAGAATTCCATATATCAGTCTTCATACCAATTTGAAGTCATGTTTGTTGTAAGTTTTAGAGAAAGTAGATACTTCTTCTTCTGAGTAGAAAGACAGGATTACCAATAATGGACTCTACTGTAATTTGAACTTTTTCCACAATCAAGATGGCTGCCATGGCCACCATCTTGAATATCTTGTTTTGGCACTTCCACTAAGCAGAAAATTGAAAAATCGATATCATAATTCCATTTCAATAAAAAATATTTTACTTTAGTAGAACTCTTGTTTTGTAAAGAACTGTCATTATTTAATGTCAGTTGTAGTCTCCTCGATCTACATTTCCTTGTGTTTATCAACAGGAGCAGACAACAGTTAGCTCCATGATGATCAATCTTTCCCAGGAAACAGGAGGTGACATTGTTGATCCAACTCAAATTCAGTGGCTAAGCAACTACTACAGACGACAGGTAAATTAATATTACATTAAAGTTAATAGTTGCAATGACAGGTAAGCCAGTATTACAGCAGTGACTCACTACCCCAGATGATAGGTTCATGAGTATTACAGCAGTGAGTCACTACCCCAGATGACAGGTTCATGAGTATTACGGCAGTGATTCACTACCCCAGATGCCAGGTTCATGAGTATTACAGCAGCGAGTCACAACTTCATATTATAAATTTGTAAGCATTACAACAGTAAACCATTACTTCAGATGACAGGTAGATAGATATTGCAGTGGCATGTCACTTCTGTAGACAACTTTGGATAACAAGTAAGTTAGTATTTCATCTGCAGGTCACTACTTCAGACAAGTCTGTACAATGTACTACCACAGAGAGTCAATAAGATGCCCACCTGCCACAAAGTCAAGGGGGTATACTGGAATCAGATATTCTATCCATCTATTTGTCAATAAGTCGACAGAATCTTAATAGATGGTGGGCTTTGCAAATCGCTCTATTTCTGTAATCCTTTTTCCTGTCTGTCTGTCCAGCTGTAAACAATTTTTGTTTGCAATATTTCTTGAGAAGTATAGGATGAATCTTTCTCAAATCTTATATGTTGATTCTTGATGGTCCTTGAATGTGCCCATCTGATTTTGGGACTGATCAGAAAAACAAACTTGCTGACTGGCAGGCATCGTAGATTTTGACGATGTGATTTTGAGACTGATAAAAAAAAAAATGAAATGGTCGATAGGTGGCCATCTTACATTTGATGGTTAAAGACTATTGTCATTATGAGGAGCAAAACAGAGAGAAGAAAAGAAATGCAGGGAAGAGATCCAGTTTTTGAAGAACATGAAAAGACCAAACAATGTAAGGCACCAAGATCATTTTTTGTGAAATTCCATGGATATAGTCATCATACAATGAAATTGTGCACATACTTATACATCATGTTTTGGAATCTTTTTATTTCTGTTGCACTTTTTCCCATTTTGCTATGATTAAAGACTAGTCCTTGCCCAAACAAATCCTTCTACAATTTTCATTCAGAGTTTTAGAAACTTCAGTGATGTAGTCAACATACAATAATGTTGGGCAGCATTCACATCTTTTCTGATTTAAACTGTATTGAGGAGTTATGTCCCTTTGATGAAAATTTGTATAAGTATTTGTCTATAACTCCTTCCCGACTTTGATTTCCTTGAAACTTTACACATATTCTAACTACAAACTAAGCCTTTGTATATGAATATTATTGGTTCATTCTAACTCTTTCTTATTGAGTTATGCCCCTTTGTTGAAAAGTTATTAAGAATCTTTGTTCATACCACATTTCAGACTTATTTGTTGATTTCAGTATGATATGGCTACCTTCTTCCATTTATATATAACTTTTTAACAGGTTGTTGCCATGGTTACAAAATTGTGATCTCTGACAGGTCAATATGTTCTGATCTGTTATATATCTAGTTAGGTTTGGCTAAAGAAGAGTTATTGCAAATGATATCTGTGGTTTTTGCAAACAGAGTCTTTGACAGATTGTAAGTGCATTTCCTCTGCTTACAGGGAACCTAATCACTCATTGACACTCATTTATGGATAAGCATTCATTGACCAGTAACTGTAATGGATGAGTGCTCATTGGCCAGTAACTGTTATGGATGAGCGCTCATTGCCCAGTAACTGTTATGGATGAGCAATCATTAACATTCAATATTATGTCTGAGCACTCATTGACCAGTAAATGTTATGGATGAGCGCTCATTGACCAGTAACTGTTATGGATGAGCACTCATTGACATTCAATGTTATGGATGAGGACTCATTGACATTCAATGTTATGGATGAGGACTCATTGACATTTAATGTTATGGATGAGGACTCATTGACATTCAATGTTATGGATGAGCAGTCATTGACATTCAATGTTATGGATGAGGACTCATTGACATTCAATGTTATGGATGAGGACTCATTGACATTTAATGTTATGGATGAGGACTCATTGACATTCAATGTTATGGATGAGCAGTCATTGACATTCAATGTTATGGATGAGGACTCATTGACATTCAATGTTATGGATGAGGACTCATTGACATTCAGTGTTATTGATGAGCGCTCTTTGGCCAGTAATTGTTATGGATGAGTGCTCATTGACCAGTAACTGTTATGGATGAGCACTCATAGGCCAGTAAATGTTATGGATGAGTGCTCATTGGCCAGTAACTGTTATGGATGAACACTCATAGGCCAGTAAATGTTATGGATGAACACTCATTGGCCAGTAACTGTTATGGATGAGTGCTCATTGGCCAGTAACTGTAATGGATGAACACTCATTTGCCAGTAACTGTAATGGATGAGCACTCATTGACCAGTAACTGTCATGGATGAGCGCTCATTGACCAGTAACTGTTATGAATTAGTGTTCATAGAACATAACTGTTCTGGATAGGACCTGTGAGGGATAGATGTTTTTACTGGGGATGACAATTTCTAGTTGAAATTAGAAACTAATGCTTCTATTTCTAAGAACGTCAATTTCAGGTATGACTACATAAGTTTCAGTACAAGCACAATGTCTCCTGATAGATAATCTTCTAAATTACAGAACGCCATCGGAAAGGTCTTAGGCTGGTATTCTGAAAAGAAGGAAGAATCCACTGATGGAATAAAGAAAATTATTGAACAAGAATTAAAAGATAGTAAAATTGATGACAAAAGAGAACAGGTAATATTCACAATCTTACACTTTAGTAATGCTACTGATGTTACTGATTGTTTGTTGAGTCTCGGATTCAAAGAAAAATGTGGGCTATTGATACCAGCACAAAAACCATTGTATCAATCTGTATAAATATGTGAGTCAATAACTCAGAGAAATGTAGGTTTCTGACTCAAAAGAATGTATGAGTTACTTACTTAAGGGAAGATGTGGGTAAATGAATAAAACAATAACTGACCAACTCAAGTACACATTTGGGCTGTGGATTCAAATGAACATTTGGATCGTTGATTCAAAAGAATATATGACTCTCTGATTCAAGTGAACATATGAGTCACTGACTCAAAATATGCTCACTGACCCAAGGCAATACTTGAGTCATTGACTCAATATGTGGATTATTGACTTAAGGACTGTGCTTGTGGGTAACTTATAACAGGAATGATAGTATAGCATGCATCATGTTTTGATGTGCTTACTGAGGAATGGAATAGCCTTCTTTTGTGGAAAGTATGTGTCCTTTTGAACTCCATTTTATGCAGAATTAGAAACGCTGTTCAGGGAGGGCACTCATGATATTAGTGGTCGATCTAACAAGTGCCATTATTTCAACTTTGTGTACATTAGGGTACCCTAATTCATGGCAGCCTTATGAAGCTCTCATTTGTTAAATATCTCAGAAAATTTGAAAACAGTCGATCCAACATTCAAAGTTAACATTTAGACATATTGCTCATAAATATAATTTTACTTTAAGGTTGAAGTTGCATTTCATTTTGCTCTTATGATTTATGCCAGCAATAACAACAAAGACAGTAATTTAGTTCTTAATTGGTATAAATTAAAACAAACGAAACTCAGTATAGGCAACAAAATATATAACATACATACAATACACCTAACTCTACATGGATTGAAGACTCTGCTCTGATTGGTCAAAAAGATGGCTAACAAAGGCTAAACATAGTGCAGAATTGCTCTGCAGCATAAGGCAGAATTGCTCTGCAGTGTAAAGCAGAATTGCTCTGCAGCGACCAAATAGGAAAGACATCAAGCAGCAATAGACTAGGCCTTGTGTTGTATAATTTCATAGAGTTGCAAATCTACTGAGGTAAATTTAACAGTAACCACAGGGGAGTTGGTACTGCCACAACATAGGGCTGTGGAACTCTGTGAAATTATATGATTAAAAATATGTCACAACTACCTAGAATTATTATAATCAACAAGTTTAACTGGCTATTTTTTGTTGACAGAGAATATTGTGAATGTTGTTGCTGCTTGATGAGTAAAGTTCATAACATCAATCTCAAAGAGTTGTAACATCTACGGGTGTGAAAGTTACTCAGTATACATGAAGGGGAAGGCATACTGCCACAACAAGGGCTGTGGAACTCTTTGAAACTGATAAAGTTACACATAATTTATTAATTGGGAAATTCATTGTTAGAATGATGTCCAAAATTATCAGGTGTGAATGGAAGTACTAGGTGAGCAGCTGAGAATCCCCAGGTAATAAATTTGTCTGAGGTGTATAACCTAAGTAACGGAATGAAAACTAGGACAAGCATGGTGCATTAGAGTGGTTTTAATGCCTTTAAGCCTGCCCAGTACAAACAACTTCAGAGTAGCATTATCCTTCAGTTTTACTCATTTTCTTTTTTGCATGGCAGGAGCAAGTTGAACGAGAAGTTTTCATGATGATAGATATGGGAAAAGAAAATGAAGGTAAATCTGTCATAAGCAGTGCATCTATTAGTTATTTGTAAAGGCAAATGTTTTTCGTAAACCAGCTGGTGAAAATCACCTTCGACCATATAACTGGTGACAGAATTATTTGCTAGCAGGATTGAAAAATTTTACTAATTATAGCATTTCTTGCTCTATTTTGTGAAAGAATGAACCCTTTTGCTTTTCGAGTTCAAATTGAAGGTCAGTTTGGGGCCTGTAAGAAAAATGGAGATAGCAAAATTTCCAAAAATTTTTGGTTTCGATAATGATGCTATGAAGATGTTTTATTTTGCGATGTACTTGCTAACTACATGCCAGATAACTACTCTGTGTTTCAAATTGATGCAGCCACTGGGTCACAGAGAGAGAACTTACAAGTTAGTCAACCTGTCCTGAAACCAGGCGACAAGGTCAGAATAGGTAAGGCTTATTGTGATTGGTCATAATTCAGACAAGCTATTAAGTATGTTTATCCAGGGTTAGACCTAATGGATGATCATATATTTCAAAATATCTGTTGTAGTGCATCTGTGTCATTCTCTATTTCATTGATATGCATTAATGATGATGTTGTGAAATGTCAGAACTTAACAGCATACATCAAGGGCAATCAGCAATGAAGATTGATAAGGATATAAACTGTAGATGGTTTTTACATTTTCATTCACTTTTTTTAAAATCCTTATCCAATATTTACCATTGTTAATTGCCTATAAGCTCCTGCATTTAATTATCAAATTGACAGGTACAGTCAAACCTGTCCTTACAGGCCCACAAGGAAATAGAAAAGAACGTGGTCGTTATACACAGGTAGCCTTTATATAGAGGTTCAATTGATATGAATTTCATGACATAGTGAACCAAAAATGGTGATCTTGATTACAAAAGGTGGGAGTGGTCTTTATAGACAGGTGGTTTTTCTATAAAGTTGGTTCTTAATACAGGTTTGATTATTGATTTATCAGCATAATATTGTCATTGTTCTAATCAGTATCTATGACAGTGACTGCTTCATATTAATTGTGTATAGGGTCTGAATGGAGAGGCCTACAGCCTGAGAAGAGCAGGTTTATACCATCAGGAAACAGTGGAACAGTCATCAATTTTAACCCGACAGATGGTACAGTGAAGGTGTGTAGTTTGTCACTAGTCAAGTACTTTAAAAACACATATTTTATGGGGTTCTCTCATGATTTTACAAAAATAATGCTGTTTGCTTGGCATCATTGATTTCGTAATAGTCACTACTTGCGCAATTCACTCGTACTTTGTAATGTAAATTTCAACTGTTAACCACTATTTCATCAACATCAACACAAAATTATTGAAAATAAACTACCACAAAAATTACTATTTTTACAATTTTTTCATCCATTCATGCTTTACACACAACTGAAAATTCAACAAAAGGTAGTATATTAGATCAACTCAAATGTCAGAAGAACAAACTGAAAAAAATCTGCCATTATTTGAAAATGATTCCACATAGTACTCTCTTTCTGTTGGCTTGTAAACTAGGAAAGATTTATTTTCCTCAAGTTTGTAAGTAGATACTGTATAGTTGATCAATTTCACAGGGTTAATATTTTGCAGTCATGACAGGTTGGGCAAGTTCCTTAGTATTAGATTTTGGGCATGTCTTTGATCTGGTACCCATATTTACAGCATAACTGACATTTTCTGAGAATTTCATTCTCTGTAGAAATTTTGACTGGGGATCAAATTTTGTGCCATCATATTTTTTATATTGACTATAGAGAAATTAAATCCCTCACAAATATTACCAATTGTACGGTGAATATTTGTATAAAATAATACATAGTAATAAGCCTGGTGATTTCAACTAATTGAAACTGAACTTTATCTTTTGATAACATTGGTAGAGCATGCTGGCTAACCCAAACTTGGTACTAGCTGTTAGTCTTTGAAGTCCTAGGAAAATATGTTACATTTAAGCAAAAACGTTTTGATGTGATTGCTTAACCATTAGGGTGACATGCTGAAGAACCTATGGACCACTTGTCAATCAAAGTAGACTCCAGAAAAATTCAATTAAAAAAACTCAAATATTCTCTCTTTGGCTCAGTTATTGATTGGAAGTGTTTTATTTAAAATTTAGGTAAAGTTAAGTAATGGGTCTCAGGACTACTTTAGACAGAGAGATGTCCAGTTATTAGAGGCAGCAGAAAGTAGGAGAAAAAGGGGGTAAGTACAGACTTATGTGTATAACAAATATATATTGTCAGACAAAGGTTTTTGCTTATCATTATAGCATTTAATCTATAAATAGATTAAAAGTTTTTCGAATGAATGATAACCATTACCCATTTTCATTTCACAAGGGACAGATATATCAAAATCCTAAAATAATTTCTTTTGAAGAACAAAAAGGTCAGGGGTCATAGACATGGCTGTGGCACACTGGAATGAAGAACATTTAAGTTTGTCCAATTTAATTACCTTGATCTTTAAAGGTCACAAAAGTCCAATGTGTTTAAATCTTCAAAGGGCTTCTTTTTGATAACTCAGGAGCGAAGTGTCATTATATTTGACCTGTGGCAAGAAGGTATAAAAAGCTATAAAAAGCTGTCAATTTGTTAAACTTAATGACTTTGACTCCTTCTAGATACAACATACTGTAGAAAATGGATATGAAGCTTTGAACATTCCAATAATGTTTTCTCATCAAAAGCTGCAGAACAGGTTAACAATTTATTTGGAGCACATGCGTTAAAAACAACCCACATGAACTTTTACTTTTAGGGGGATGTTGAACATCCAAGGTGACGGTGACCTTCAGGTAGACAGTGCATTAGGCATTGACTCTGATGATGACCAATCCTTCAGAGGAATTGAAGAAGATCATCATAACATATTCTCAATGCCATCAGGGACTGAAAATGCTTCTGGTGAATGTGTTACAGGTAATTCTAGTGCATAGGTCATAGGGAAGTATGGTCCTGGTACATAGGTCAAATGTAAATATAGTTCCAGTCATCAGTCACAGGTAAAGATAGTTCTTATACACTGGTCACAGGTAAATAGAGCCCTTTTAAGTACACAGGTCACAAGTAGATATAGTTCCATTACATTGGTCACAAGTGAATATAGTCCTAGTTCATCTGTCACAAGTAACTAGAGTTCTGTTACACAGGTCACATGTATATAGGGTCGTAGGATACAGGCTACACAGAGATATGGTCCTAGCACACAGGTCACAGGTTAATAGGGTCTTAGGATATAGGTTACACAGAGATATGGTCCTAGTACAAAGGTCACAGGTATATAGGGTCGTAGGATACAGGTTACACAGAGATATGGTCCTAGTACACAGGTCACAGGTATATAGGGTCGTAGGATACAGGTTACACAGAGATATGGTCCTAGTACACAGGTCACAGGTTAATAGGGTCTTAGGATATAGGTTACACAGAGGTATGGTCCTAATACACAGGTCAGAGGTAAATAGGGTCGTAGGATACAGGTTACACAGAGAAAACAGTTGCTGTGAGATAAGGAGATCTGGTTAATATAAATGTTTTACTGTAAATGTAACAGTATGCATAAAAGATGAAAAAGTTCCCTAGTATATTGAATGGTCTTTATTTTACCTATAACATTAGAATGGCAATTATTTACATGTATACATAGTAGTTTGTGTAAAAAAAAACCTGAAGATACATTTACTAGGGTGATACGTTTGTGTATGTTTGTCAGGTAACATCTGCAAGTAATTGTAGTAGATATACTGTATGTCTTTGTAATGAAACATTTTCCGCTGACCACAACTGTGACCTCAATTATAAACCGTTTTAAAAGTGATATGTTTGCTTTTCCTTTCTCTTCAACACAAAGTAGCACAGACATGTTATGTTTGTTTCAGAAGTGACTGACAGTGAATAGGCTCACTCACTTCACAACCAATAATCTGAACCATCAGGAAACACAGCTAGCTGACAAGGCCTGGACTTATTGTGTTTGAGTCTAATCCCTACAACACTGAATTTGTGGCCGACACAGCCTGGACTTATTGTGTTTGAGTCTAATGCCTACAACACTGAATTTGTGGCCGACACAGCCTGGACTTATTGTGTTTGAGTCTAATGCCTACAACACTGAATTTGTGGCCGACACAGCCTGGACTTATTGTGTTAGATTCTTAAGCCTACAACACTGAATTTGTGGCCGACACAGCCTGGACTTATTGTGTTTGAGTCTAATGCCTACAACACTGAATTTGTGGCCGACACAGTCTGGACTTATTGTGTTTGAGTCTAATCCCTACAACACTGAATTTGTGGCCGACACAGCCTGGACTTATTGTGTTTGAGTCTAATGCCTACAACACTGAATTTGTGGCCGACACAGCCTGGACTTATTGTGTTTGAGTCTAATCCCTACAACACTGAATTTGTGGCCGACACAGCCTGGACTTATTGTGTTTGAGTCTAATGCCTACAACACTGAATTTGTGGCCGACACAGTCTGGACTTATTGTGTTTGAGTCTAATGCCTACAACACTGAATTTGTGGCCGACACAGCCTGGACTTATTGTGTTAGATTCTTAAGCCTACAACACTGAATTTGTGGCCGACACAGCCTGGACTTATTGTGTTTGAGTCTAATCCCTACAACACTGAATTTGTGGCCGACACAGCCTGGACTTATTGTGTTAGATTCTTAAGCCTACAACACTGAATTTGTGGCCGACACCGCCTGGACTTATTGTGTTTGAGTCTAATCCCTACAACACTGAATTTGTGGCCGACACAGCCTGGACTTATTGTGTTTGAGTCTAATCCCTACAACACTGAATTTGTGGCCGACACAGCCTGGACTTATTGTGTTAGATTCTTAAGCCTACAACACTGAATTTTGGCCGACACAGCCTGGACTTATTGTGTTTGAGACTAATGCCTACAACGCTGAATTTGTGGCCGACACAGCCGGGAATTATTGTGTTTGAGTCTAATGCCTACCACACTAAATTTGTGGCCGACACAGCCTGGACTTATTGTGTTTGAGTCTAATGCCTACAACACTGAATTTGTGGCCGACACAGTCTGGACTTATTGTGTTTGAGTCTAATGCCTACAACACTGAATTTGTGGCCGACACAGCCTGGACTTATTGTGTTTGAGTCTAATGCCTACAACACTGAATTTGTGGCCGACACAGCCTGGACTTATTGTGTTAGATTCTTAAGCCTACAACACTGAATTTGTGGCCGACACAGCCTGGACTTATTGTGTTTGAGTCTAATGCCTACAACACTGAATTTGTGGCCGACACAGCCTGGACTTATTGTGTTAGATTCTTAAGCCTACAACACTGAATTTGTGGCCGACACAGCCTGGACTTATTGTGTTAGATTCTTAAGCCTACAACACTGAATTTGTGGCCGACACAGCCTGGACTTATTGTGTTTGAGTCTAATGCCTACAACACTGAATTTGTGGCCGACACAGCCTGGACTTATTGTGTTAGATTCTTAAGCCTACAACACTGAATTTGTGGCCGACACAGCCTGGACTTATTGTGTTTGAGTCTAATGCCTACAACACTGAATTTGTGGCCGACACAGCCTGGACTTATTGTGTTTGAGTCTAATGCCTACAACACTGAATTTGTGGCCGACACAGTCTGGACTTATTGTGTTAGATTCTTAAGCCTACAACACTGAATTTGTGGCCGACACAGCCTGGACTTATTGTGTTAGATTCTTAAGCCTACAACACTGAATTTGTGGCCGACACAGCCTGGACTTATTGTGTTAGATTCTTAAGCCTACAACACTGAATTTGTGGCCAACACAGCCTGGACTTATTGTGTTTGAGTCTAATGCCTACAACACTGAATTTGTGGCCGACACAGCCTGGACTTATTGTGTTTGAGTCTAATGCCTACAACACTGAATTTGTGGCCGACACAGCCTGGACTTATTGTGTTTGAGTCTAATGCCTACAACACTGAATTTGTGGCCGACACAGCCTGGACTTATTGTGTTAGATTCTAAAGCCAACAAAACTCTTGAATGCTTCGCTGGTATGGCCTGGGCTTACAGAATAGGATTCGGAAATCTGTGAAACTCCGGACTTAATGACTAACACAGCTTGGACTTATTGTGTTAGAGACTGAAGACCTTCTGACTTCATGGCTGACAAGGCCTGGATTTATTAAGTTGAAAGCAAAAGTATGTAAAACTCCAGATTTCACAGAAACAAGGCCTGGCCAGTGAATCAATGAGTTGGATAGTTTTGACAAATCAAATTTTTAAAGTAATAAGTGCATGTTTGGTATCTACCCTGGTCCATATTTGTTGCCCTTCAATAAGTTTGTCACTTGACTTTGAATCAGATGTACTATTGTGTTGGCCTTTTGCATTTATTGCTTGACAAATACAGTGTTTCTTACACCTTTCTGTACTTACCAAGTAGCCATAGTAGGAAGGTGTTGGGCCGGAGATCGAAGGATTTAACTGCTTGCACAAACATCATTGGGTATCCTTGGACAAAATATTTTACTCTGCTTGTCCGTGTTCACTAAGTTATAAAAATGGGATGTAGCTGACCACTGTTGAACATATTGTGTGGGCTATTTCTAGCTCCTAATAGCAGCTCAGGTTGTACACTCCTCAAGTAGTTAACCTTGAGAAACATTATGGCTATTAGCAATTACAATGGATAATAATAATTTGGTGAATGTCTTTAAGACAGCAATGTTGATGTGATGCAGCAGTAGATAAGAACCTCAAATTATAATTAATTTTTATTATGTATCATTTATTTATGCCAAATATACCTATAAGTGTGGGTTTTTTTTTCATATATATGAATTATTATAGTTGAAATCTTATACATACTGCATTGATCCCCAACCTTACCCCTACCCCCAAATAAAAAAGTAGAATGTACACCATCATCACAATAACCACCATTTACATAAATTAAAGTAGATGAATATCCTGATAGATGGTCCACTATCATCTACTTCTACATTGTACAAACTGGAGTACAGTTAAACTGGTATTGGAGATTTATTTATTTAGATGTGCTGGTCACTTTATATATCGGACTTGATGTCCAAATTAGGTTGCATTTTGTAAAAGATATTTGTTATGCTTTGCATGAAAAATTTATATAAATCCGTAGTCAATGTTATTAAACAATATATTCTATAATTAAGTGATAGAGATGAAATGTTTCTTTTTGTTTTTTAAGGTTATCTATAAAATGTCACAAACTGAATTATGTTTTCTGTAAATGCAATCACTAATTTTTGATAGATTCTTTTAACAGATTTTATCAACAATTTTAACGATTAGATATTTGACAAGATTGTTCTTTCAGTCAATGTTTGCACATAAAACCATAAGGAACATTACTGAAACTTGTTTTTACAAACTGAATATTCAATATACACTTATAATAGTGAATACAGTTGCACAAGGATTTTTACTCAATTTCATATACATGATGTCAAAGTTCTTTCACAAAATTAAATAACACCAAAATTCAAGTGATGATGTGGATTTTTGAAGCCTTCATTGTACATTGATGATGTCTTACTTACACCTTCAGTTGTAAATTATCAAAAGATTGATAAATATATACCATCTTGCCATCGGATATGCAGTCCCTTGGTTAGAGAAAGGACCCCCATGTATTGATATGCAAGCTTTTATACATATGTGTGATTGTGAGATAGTGAAGGGAAATCAGTTAAAACCAATGATGAAATATTACAAGCAATCATTGCATCAAATGAGGTTAAAAGATTATATTTATATTAAGAGAAAACAGAAACACAATTCAACCCTACAGCTTAATAATATAATATTTATGACCAATATGCCTAAATGTGAAATGCAATAGTTTGAATATTGGACCATCGATCTTTGAATTTTCAGAGATTTTTAACAAATGAAGGCTTCCGTAGGCCACTATGAATTAAAGTTTTGAAATTAATTGAAATAACGGTGGTTGTCAGACCGATCCCTAATATCATGTGTACCCTCCCGAACAACTATAATGTCTGTAATTCTGCGTAGCATAGAGTTGATTGACTGCCTGAAGAGGAATGTTACTCCATTCTTCGGTAAGTGCGTTGGTCAATTGGCAGAGGTTACTTGGGATGTTTGCTTGATTCCGAACTCTTCTGTCTAATTCGTCTTACAATTGTTCGATCAGGGCTATATGGAGGCCAATCAGAAGGGATGTTTATCTGGGTTGCAAGAAAGTCCCAACAAACTCTTTCATTGTGTGGACAAGCGAAATCATGCTTAAAGGTCAAATGGTGTCTCATAATGAAAGGCACCAAATGAGGCCTCAGGATCTCATCTCAATTGTGTACATCTGTTAAATTCCCATTTATGATCATTAGAAATGTTTTTAAACCACTGTTAAATTTGTCAGGCTCCAAAACACAAGTGTCTGCAAGATGCTCTCCTCAATGCTAGTACACACGTTGACGGCCATCTGAATGAAATAACATGAATCGTGATTCATCTGTGCAGAGCATGGATCTCCAAACTCTCATTACGAATATCTGGGCACATGTGCCGTAAGCCATCAAAAACAGTGTGCTCATTGTTTAGTTGTAAACAGCAAACCAACATACTGGTGACATGGGTGTATATCTACCTCTCTTTCTCACAGTTTTTGGAGTGCTGTTAATCTCCTGTCACACAGTTTGGCAAAGCCTAACAAACTCGATCTTGATGTCACGATGTTACACGTGGATGTCTGGATCTCGGTCCGTCATCAACTCATCTCATGGTGTGGAGATGTAGAATTAACCAACTTGTAGCCAATTCACATGTCTTGGTGATAGTCAGAAATTGACATTAGTTTGAATGGGAAAAAATGCATGCATTTGTAGTCACAGTATATTGGTAATATAGGTGCACCAGATGTGGATAAGTTTATTGTCACGGATGACAGACTTTTATTGAGGGATTAGATAAGGTGCCTTAATATTCTTCTTACATTTAAAACAACAATGCATATTCAATACCAAATATTTTGGTATTAAAGACGTTAGGTTTTATAGGATTTTAGAGCATCACTTCGAGACTACTGAGGTTTGTGTTCCTCTGTAAATGTCATTGATTGGCATTAACGAATGACATTGACAGAGGACCATGTTACTGGGTAGTTATATTTTTCTATAATTTGACAGTTGATTTCATTTACGACAACTGATACTTTATTTTTAACCTCCTCAGATGACAAATGCTACTTTTAACCCTCTCTGACAAAAAGTAATACAGCTCTACCCCCTCAGATGACACATGATACTTTTTACCCACTCGGACAATACATGATACTTTTTTATTTACCTCCTCAGACGACAGATGATACTTTTTACCCCCTCAAATGACAGATGATACTTTTTACCCCCTCAGATGACAGATTATACTTTTTACCCCTTTCATGACGGATGATACTTTTTACCCCCTCAAACGACAGATGATACTTTTTACCCCCTCAAACGACAGATTATACTTTTTACCCCCTCAAACGACAGATTATACTTTTTACCCCCTCAAACGACAGATTATACTTTTTACCCCCTCAAACGACAGATTATACTTTTTACCCCCTCAAACGACAGATTATATACTTTTTACCCCCTCAAACGACAGATGATATACTTTTTACCCCCTCAAACGAC